CACAGACCTTTACTAAAGCCCATACGCCCTAAACCTTGCCTTAACCTCTGCAGTAGTTCGAGCTTGGAGACACCCTAAGAGAGCGCATAGTCATAGGGTTCCCATATAAAAGTATAGTACAGCATACTATACTCGAGCTATGTCATACTTATAATTATCCTCGTCCTCAACCCTGAAACCCAGCTTCGACAGCCAGAGTTGAGGAGAGGGACTGCTGGGCTCCAGCCAGCAAAGCTGGGTTAAGGTTCAGGGTTTAGGCTTTAGGGTTTAGGGGTCTAGGGGTTTAGGCTTTAGGGTTAAGGTTCAGGGTTTAGGCTTTAGGGTTTAGGGGTCTAGGGGTTTAGGGTTTAGGGTTCAGGGTTTCGGGTGTAGGGTTTAGGGTTCAGGGTTTAGGGGTTTAGGGGTTAGGGTTTAGGGGGGCTCCAACGAGACATGCCGAAGGATGTAGCAAGGGACTCAAGTCGAAGTTGTGTATGCATGCCCTGAGAAGAGCCTGATACGCCCGTAGCTAAACCCTAAACCCTAAACCCTAAACCCTAAGCAGCCAGGTTGGAAATGGGCAAAGCTAGGTCTTGGACTGATGGCCGTGAGGACTGCGGCTTTTGGGTTTAGGGTCTAGGAATGGGGCTTTCTGGTTTAGTGCTTTAGGTTTGGGGGTTGTATAGATGGCCCCTGTTGATTCAGATATACTAGTACTCTAACCAGGAACACCCAAAATAGTATGTAGCTAATTATATTTAGGCCCCTATACCATAGAACCCTACTTTAGATACCTTATAGACCGCTCTATAAGGATCCCTATAATTATTAAGGCCCCTAGAACTATAGTATACGAATTCTGAGGCCTGTGTAGGGCCAAAAAAAGCACGTAAGCAAACATTAGGATATGGATATCCCAGATTAACCTCCTTATAATGAAGCCCAATCAGGTGGGGATGTCCCTATAAAATGCTTATGCTTGTGTGCTTTTTTGGCCCCTAACTGTGTGAGACCATCTTCCTTGGGGCACTGGCTTTCCGCAGGAGCGCCCCACACGGAGAGGGAGCAACGAGGCCTGCGGGGTCTTACTGTAGTAATTAAAAACGGGCTCTACAAGGGATCTCTAATCTATAAGGGCCTTATAAAGGATCTCTATAAGGGATCTATAAGGGGTATCTATAAAGGCTTAGTAATTAGAAAGGGGCTCTGCAAGGGATCTTTTGGGGTTCAGGGTTTAGGGTTGGGGTTTATAGGGTTTAGGGTATCTATGGGGGCCTTATAAGGGATCTATAAGGGGGATCTATAGGGGCCCTTAGTAATCACAATAAGGTTTCCGGGCTAATTCGAGGCCTGCCGACAGTGGTGACCGTTTGCCCTGATTCGTCATTTTCTCTTAAGGCCAGTTTCATTCTTATTATTCTTCACACATATATATATATATATATATACAGATATATACACATGATACATAATATGTATGTATATGGATGGAATTTGTACTTGTGCATATTTCAAAGCGTGTGGTTCAGAATAAGATGGACAAAACACCAAGACAAAGGATTCAGAGCCCTCCGGCGCAGGGTGTCCGTCTCTAGGGGCCAGCTATAAGGGGGCTTGATGATTCCGATGTATTTTGCTTATGATTGCCCAGGGACTATAAAGGGTATTCTTATCGTTTGTTCCGTCTTCCATGTTCAGGTTGCAGCACTTCGGGCATTGGGCTTTGAGACTTGGGATACGAGATGACGGCTGAAAGGGGTCTTTGAGGTTTGGAAGTATTGGAGCCACAGGTGGAAATGCGCAACAATCAACACCTTACAAAATACCAGAAGTCGGACTCCCTGTTAAGTGCCAGGGCAAATCACTGGCAACGTACTCATCCTGCGCATATTGCCTCCGAAAACGCAGTGCAAAGCGAGCTCAAACCCCTAGACCCTAAAACATTGAATCGTGGAGACTCTACTAGTCTAAGACACACAAATTAACAATAATAGTAATAACAATGAAAGCCCTACAAACAACAATGTACCAAACAGAATACTGAGATTAAGAACAACAGCAGCAGCAACAACAACAACACCAACACCAACACCAACACCAACACAACCAGCACCAGCACCAGCACCAGCACCAGCACCAGCACCAGCACCAGCACCAGCACCAGCAGCAGCAGCAGCAGCAGCAGCAGCAGCAGCAGCACCAGCAGCACCAGCACCAGCACCAGCACCAGCACCAGCACCAGCACCAGCACCAGCACCACCAACAGCAACAACAACAAGAACAGTAAGAACAACGACGATACAATACAACAACAATAACAATGATACGAATTACAAGAACACTTATAGTTATAGCAACAGCAATAAGAATGCTAGCAATAGTACTACCTAATAATAACACCAGAAACGAAAACACTAGGCCTAATAATAATAATGATGATTATAGTCAGAGTTATATGTCAACCTAACAACTTGAGACTCGTGGGGTCTCCGGAGATTCCTGCGGCGCCTGGTCCCAGTGGCTAGGAGCCGCCAATCCCTCCACCAGCATACCTGGGGAGCAAAGCTTCATGGCTTAGGGCTTAGGGCTTAGGGTTCGGGTTTAGGGGTTTAGGGTTTAGGGTTTAGGGTTTAGGGTTTAGGGGTTTAGGGTTTAGGGTTTAGGGTTTAATTAGGGCTTAGGGTTCGGGGTTTTGGGGCCTCGGGTTTAGGCAACCAAGCTTCGCTTGGAGACCTCCAGATTTGCAGTACTGGCTTTCCGGTTCCGGGCTGGGCGTTCAATGTGGAAGTCTACTGATGCCGAAGGCCCTAAAGCTCTAAAGCCCTAAACCCTAAACTTTAAACCCTAAACGCCGAACCCTAAGCCCTAAACCCTAAACTCTAAGCCCTAAACCCCTTCTAATAGTCAACCCTGTTGTGCTCAGCACTGCACTTCAAGATTGCCAGCTCCTCAGGACGAGCCGGCTAGCCATGGAATTCTTCTATGTATAAAATATATGATAATATAGTGTGTATATATAAATAATATATAGATATTATATATATATGTATATATATGTATATATATATATATATATATATATATCATGAGGAATTGCTGAGCTCTTGTAATTTAAGGGTGTCAGGGTTTTGAAAACTTACGGTTTAGTGTTCCAGTTTGGTGCGCCACATATCGACGATGGTCGCTGGTATACGCTGGTATGCCGCTATGCTGTTTGGTTTTACATCATGATGCCACTGTTGATGGATGAGGTCTAGCATTTCTGGAGCTAGATTTGTCTGCTGTGCCGCGAAGCGTTTTTAATTACATTCTGAATGTTATTGTGGGAATGAATTCGCGGGTGTGCCCTTGTCTGTCTGATGACACTTCTGCACTAATCATGCATTAGCCGAGATGCGGGTATGAACCCTAAGTCCACAACCCTAGCCCCAGAATGCAAACCAAGACTTCTCACCTAAACCCCGCATCCTAAACCCTGAAAACCACCACATCCTTTCCGGGGCGCTGGTGAACTGCGGCTTTCAGCTCGGTCAGCATCCTTGCGTCGGGTCGCAGGACAATTGAGGGTTCAGCGTTTTTAATGCGTTTTGCTTCTTTAGAACTTCGGTGTTTGGGAATCCAACATATCCGTGTGTGGAAGCGGCTTATATGTCCGACGCTAGACTTGCATTTACGGCACACCTACACTTGGACAGCGCTCAAATCCTAGGGCCGCAAGCCCATACTTAAAACTCTGCAAGCCTGAAACCCCAAAAACCCAGAATCTTCAACCGCCCAAACTCCTCACAGCCACATAAACCCCCTAAACTATAACTAACCCTTAGCAGGGCAAAGCTTGCCCGGCTTCGGACTTACATCGGCAGATGCCGAACAGTTATAACCTCAGAATGAATGTGTGTGTATATATATGTGTATATATATATATATATATATATATATATGTAAATATAAACGAATAAATATAAATATACATATATATATATATTGAAGGTATACCTCCAGTCCAGCGAGCCTTGCCAAATCCACGACGTCCCGCTCCAGCGCGGCGTTCTCCGCCTTGAGCCGCTCGGACTCTCGCTGGGCCTGGGCGCGCGGGTGGAATACCCTAGACCCAAGAGTAACCTAGGAATAAAAAGGGTGCCCTTTTTGGTTTTATAGGGGCTCATAAGGGAACCTGAACCCTAAAAAAAGGGAATCAGGGCCTACTCTGGGTCCTAGTACCCCTGAATTAAGGAATATAGCTTAAATCATAACCCTAAACCCTAAACCGTCTCATGAATCCGGGGGAGATCAATACCCTGAAGTCAGGAATATGGCTTCAATCATAATGTGAAGCCCCTTCTAATTTCAGCCATATTCCCTGATTAAGGGGTATTGGGCTCTGGGAAGGCTCTTTGAGAATCATGTTTTGGCCAGGAGGCGCAAAGACCATGCAGTAAAAGGCCATTGGACTATTTTCAGCCTTAGGGTTAGGTATCGGGAAGTTCATGAATTTGGGGTTTTGGGTTGCAGGCTATTTGGCTGGACTTGCTTGATGGCAGTGCGGGGTGTATTCTCTGTCCTTCTCAGGTTAAGTCTATCTATCAGGCCATGCTCCAGGCCTCCTGGTTTAGGGTTCAGGGTTTAGGGTTAGTCCTCACTCCTTCTTTGGTCTCAGCGTTCCTTCTGCGAATGTTGCCGAAGTTCGTCGAACTTGGGCAAACTGTTTCGATTCACCTTCCATTTCTTAATTCCGATCACAAGTTTTTTCGAGCCTGCGTATGACGTGGCTCTGTGCACGTTCCCTCCATTGATATGGGGCTCTATTGTAAGGAACCTGATGGAAGCCTCTGCTTTGCTCGTTCCTTCTTCTGACTCTGATGGTCTTTGCCGACATAGTTCTCTCGGCTCCTTCCGATGACCTGGGCTTTATTGTCAAACCGCCTCTGCACCGACAACACGCAGTTTGCGAAATCTTCACACAAGCCTAGAGGCCCGAATGAACCCTAAACAGTTTACATGCAACATAGAAGACTGAATAACTACGATAAACTGGTATGTCTGTACAGGGACAAAAAGAGCTTACGATTGAAGACACCCTTAAAGCCGAGGATATCGCGGCCAGCTCTGCCGCCTTGCTTTGCATGACGGCGGCCTCGCCAACATTAGCAAAGGGTCCCAAAGGTGGCATAGGGTTTAGGTTTAGGGTTTGGGAGGAAGGTACAGGGAGGATCCCAAGTAAGAGTCCTGATGTAGTGGATCCCTATTCCCTGCTTTATTAATCCTACGTACCTTCATCCTGCCTTTTCAGGCCCCCGACATAACACTCATGGGTTAAGGGGTTTACGGCTTAGGGGGATTATGATCCAGGTCAGGCATCGGAGAGCCTTGTGGGGGGAGGGGGTGAAGGGAGGGATGACGGCGGCTTGAGATGCTTATGGCCTACACTCCAAGTAGCGTCAGGTAGGTACTGTGCAACACATGAGAAGATCCGATGTAGGTATTATTTCTCCAGCCCCAAAGCTGCAGTTTAGATATGTTTGGAATTCTAGGTTCCCCAGTAACGCCCTAGTTATCAGGGTACCCTTGTCCCTCCCATTCGCTTTCGATAAGGAGAGCCCCAAACAGAAAAGGTCAAAAAAGTGTTCTATTGGGGTTGGAGACTTAGAATTTTCAAACGGGAAAACCTTAAATTAGAAAAGCCTAAATCCCTGAACCCTTAGGGCCTATAACCCCAAAACCCTAACCCCCCTAAGCCAGGGTCCTCATTACTTGGAGGATCGGACTTAGTAAGCAAGGTTATAAGTACCTTCATGGGGGTTGTAAGTAGTTATAATAAGTATAGTTACCTTAATTATAACCCTCGTTGCTAAGTCCCGTGATCCTTTAAGTACCCCTAAGCCTCCTTTATAGAAGCCATACAGATCGCTTTTTGAGGAGCCCTTTAAGCAACCCTAGTTACTAAGTCCCATGATCCTTTAAGTACCCACGATGGAACCTCCCAGCACCCAGAGACCGACAGACCAATCCCGAAGTTCAAAAGATCGAACAGCCCAGAACCAAAGCCCGGGTTTAGGGTTTACAGGGTTTAGGGTTTAGGGTTTACTAGATCAGTACTGTAGGGGCCTTATTATATAATTAGAGTAGGGTTTTGGGGGTTCCTTGTTAGAACTATAACATAGTTTACTCTAGCCCCAAGCCCGATTTAAAAAAAAAAACATACTGAGGCCCCCGCATTATACAAGAACATCCTAGGGTTTATGATTTAGTGTAAATTTTGAGTCCCTTGGAGGAACACGGCTCGCTTTCTTGAGGCCCATAGTTGTGTAAACCCCCGCCAAGCCCAACTCCAACAAATCGAAGTCATCCTGCTCCCAAGCCCTAAACTCAGTCTATGCTCTAAATCCTAAACCCTAAACCCTGCTAAACCCTAAGCCCCAAACCCTAAACCCTGCTAAACCCTAAGCCCTAAACCCTAAACCCTGCTAAACCCCAAGCCCTAAGCCCTACACCCTACAGCCGGCTACACCCTGAACCCAAAATCTTCAACCCGTTCCTCGGCTTTGGCTGTGTCGGTGCTTTCGATCGTTGCAGCTTCCTTGGCCGCCTGCGGGAGTGGACGGTCCCTTAAGTGGAAGGGCCTCGGGGCTTTACCTACAGCAGCCTTTCTAGTTCTTCTGTCTTTGCTTGGACCCGTTTTGTATTTAGGATCCTGTAAGGTAGCCCCCAAAACTAGAATGGATACTATAGGCAGGGCTTAATTGGAGAGCTGGGGTGTTAGGGCTGCATGGCTTTACGGGTTTCGGGGTTCTAAAGTTCATGGCACATGACATACTTTGGCTCTTGGTGGCTTCAGTGGTTCGCGGCTTAGGCTCGTATCGAACTTCTAGGATTCGTGCAAGCAGTGGTTAAGGATGAAGGTCTTCGGAGCTTAGGGTGTCGGGTAGGGCATGGCGGTCTACAGCTTAAGTTGCTAGTCTAAAGCTCCGCCGCCGGAAATTCAACCCGACTAATAGATTTTATCAACCCCCCCCCCTCCCCGAGACGGGTGGAGGTTGGCATCCGCAACAGGGCAGGTTTTCGTGTGGTTCAGAACATGCACAACTGAGAACCACGACCCGGCACGAAAGCCTAATCCTTCGAGCACAGGCCACTTGTCGGACCGGCTCAAGCCCTCACATCCTGTCTTTCGCCTTCCAAGCCCTGTTTAGGATTTGGGGCTTTAGTGGGTTTCGGATTTAAATAAATTTTAAACTCTTACGCTCATAATTAGGTAGGTCCCGCAAACCCTACACCCTAAACCTCAACTTGAGAAGTCAAACATCCATAACCCATTAACTACCCTAAAACCGACACCCGAGACTCAAACTCCAAGCGCTGCGACCTCGAGCTCCGCGCATCGTTGTTGGGCCGCTTCCAACGCCTGCGCGCCGCAAAGAGTATTGGCAGTGGCCGTGGAAGTAGCAGTAGCCGTAGCCATAGCCAAGTCGGTAGCGTCAGCGGTAGCCCCTTTGTGTAAGTAGGGCCATGGTTTTTTTAATTCATTTTTTTGGGGGGGGAGGGAGGGGGGGGGGTTAAGAAAACCATCACCTTTTTGGCCTTCCGGGCCAAACCCAGGCCACCGGGCAAAGCGCACGTCTGGGGAGCCGTTGAGGGCCTTACAGTGTGCACTGAACTAGTTTACTGCCTGAGTTTCAGTGAGTTGAAAGGATCAATCAAGGGTGCATCCAAGCTGAACCCTAAACCCCAAATTGCTTCAAAGTCCTGGATGAGTGCCAGATGCGAGAATCAGGCTGTCCGAACTGTGGGTTTAGGGGAGCTGCCAGGAGATGAGCCTGCTTGTCCGAGGCTTGCGCTGTCCGGTAGGAGGCAGCCTGCACAACTACGTCTTTGGCCTAAACCCTAAACCCTAAGGGGATTCGGACTGAGGGTCTGTCTCGTTAGGGCTTGCGGTGCAGGGTCGGGGCTGATCCTATGCCGAAGAAGCCCCATGCTCTTGCCTGTGCTATGTGAGTCCAGATGCTCTTATTGGGGCTTTGGTTTTGGGGTATAGCATGGTATACCGTGCTCATTTTTTTTGTGTAAATCTTGGTGCAAAAAAGTCTTCCAGCTAGTAAACTACACCGAGACACCCGGTTATGCATTCTGCAGGCTCCAATAACATGGTTCGCACATCTGCATCAGTCTTGCTGTTTCATCCACGACACTTGCAGGCAAAATGAAGCCACACTTTCCAATCGGCAACTGTCTGGCCTTACCAAAGGCATACATATATACTTTCAATAGGCCTTGCAGTGTGTACTTCGCTGGTGTGTGGATAGAGGTAGATGTATATGTAGACGTATGTGATGTGCATGTATGTGCATGTGCATGTGCATGTACATGTGCATGTGCACTGCATATGTATGTAGGTATGTATGCATGTACGTACGCACGCGCGCACGTGCGCATGTATGCATGGATACTGTTACAGTAATTACTTTCACATCATCAGCTTTAGCAAGGCTCCTTTTGCAAAGGCTCCGGTTTCAACCTCAGACAGCTCAGGTCAACCATGTTCTCGACTCAGGGCGGACCCCAAAAAAGTGGGAGCAACGGCCTCTTCCGTCGCCGCACGAAGCTTATTCTCAAGCTCGGCACTTTGCGCCTCGGACTGACAAGCAACACAGGGAAAGAGCCAAGGGCTTCATATACATATACATGTATGTATATATATATATATATATATATATGTATATATATATGTATATGTATATATGTGTGTATATATATACACACATATATATATATATATATATATATATATATATATATCAAGAAATGAAAATGCACATTATTTTTATGCATACACACACATATATATATATATATATATATATATAATGTATATAAATACATATACACATACGGATTGGACATTTTCGGTATCACGTGTCTTCAATCCCTCCAAAACTAGCATACTAAACCCTAACGGCTTCATCCCTCAAGCTCTACAGCCCTGCAGCCTTTACCGTAAGTCCTAAAACACCAGCGTCTTTGGGTGTCCTGCTTGAGAATTTAGGGCTCACAGGGTCTTGGCAAATTTGAGGGAAGAACCATCAATGCCGAAGCTGTTGTGCTTTAAGGACTTTTGCGTGTGCGCCCCCCAAACGCCCGCAGCTTTCTTCAGACATCTGCCAAACACCAGACGAGCAACGACAGTCTAAACCCTAAACCGCAGCAGCTTCGAAAGCTCAACAAATTGAAAAACCCTCGCCGGCAACAAACAACTCAGCACTCCCACCCAACTGGCGTCCAAACCATAAACCTTACATCCCCAAATGCCCTAAACCTTTCACCTACAAGCCCTCAAAACCTACACTACACTGTCCTAAACGTAAACCCTCTACCACCTAAACTCTGAACCAAAAGGTGTTCATCGCCGTCTTGACACTATACACATAAAGACCAAACAAAACCTGATACCAGCGATATCGGATCATGAATAAAAGCACCGCTGTACAGCACTATTAAGAAGCCCCATACCTTTGTGGACGCTCGCCAAGAACAGTGAGGACACGCTATACCTTTAACCCAAAATAAACCCTGAACCCTAAACCCCTAAAACCCCTAAACCCTAAACCCTAAAACCCCTAAAAACCCTAAACCCCTAAACCCTAAACCCCTAAACCCTAAACCCTAAACCCCTAAAACCCCTAAAACCCCTAAACCCTAAACCCTAAACCAAAACCCTTGAAGCGCCCATCCCTGAACCCTTAGATTTAGAAGGGGCCCCCCCACCCTGTAATCGTGGTATAATACGGTTGATGGTATAAATCCTGCATGACCTTAAGGACCCTAAACTATGGGAATTATGGTATATTCCTTATTATGGGTCATGCAGGATTTATATCATCAACCGTAGGAATATAATAAGGCCCTAATATAATCCTTATAGTCACTATTACAGGGTGGGGGCCCCTTCTAACCCTTGAACCCCCTTAACCTTACCAAGGATCCAAGCATCTGAGAATGAGCTACTCTCCAGAATACTAGCCTGCATAACTACTATCCTAAAACCGAATACCTAACTATTGGGTCCTTCGGACCCTCAGAGCTTAAAACCCCAAAGCCCATGATGCCCTTCAGTGGCCTCCAAGTCTGTGCAGCGCTTTTCTGACGCCTCCAACCTTCCCTGGAGCTGCTCCGCCACCTGCCAGGGGTACTTACTTAAAGGATCATGGGACTTAGTAAGGGTTCTTAAAGGGGATCTGTAGGGTTTCTTAAAGGGATCTTAGGGTTTAGGGTTTAGGGAATACTTAAAGGATCTTGGGACTTAGTAACTAGGGTTATAATTAGGGTAACCATACTTATAACCCCAATTACGGTGCTTATAACCTTACTTACTAAGTCCCATGATCCTCCAAGTAGGGATTCGCAATTGAGGTTTAGGGTTTAGAGTTTGAGGTTTAGGGCTAATCCAAGTTTTAGAGTTTAAGGGCGTGGGTTTAGATTTACGTAGGGTTGATGGATTAGGGTCTGGAGTCTAGCACGAAAAAGTCTTACACCAATGAAGTGGAGACAGTGTTTGACGACAATGTTCATAGTGCAAAAGTAGCAGCATCTGCTATCGGCTACTGGAGAGTATTACTTGAGGGCTGTTGAAGGCTACTGCGCTTCGCTGAAGCCTTTTAAGGGCTAGCGTGGTCAAAACCAAGCGGAGGCTACAAAATCAATGAAGCTATGCACAGATACTGCGAGCTTTTGAAGGTTACTAAAGAAAGGTGGCGGGTTACCGATGGCGCCTGCAGCACCTTTAGGGTTTAGGGTTTATAGGGTTTAGTGTTTAGGGTTTTGGTTTAGGGTTCAGGGTTTAGGGCACCGTCCTGTGGTGCTCGCGCTGCATCGTCCGGCCGGAGCTGTTCCTCATACTTCCTCTTGCGCTCATCAAAAGCTCGCTCATACTTCTCCTCAATCACCGCTTCCAGCTCCTTTTGTGCGATCTTTTCTTTCTCTTGCCTGGCATCCATCACCAAGTCTGCGAAGGCCTGCTGGTCTTCCGTGTCCATAGTGCTGACTGCCTCCAGCACCGTTTCAGGGCACTCCAGTTTTGCCTCGCACCGTCTGGTCACAAAAAACAACAAACACACAAACGTAGCAATGCAGTTCTACTTGGGCAGAGGCCTCAGGATTCGAGGCCGTCGGGGCAGTATAGGTCTTTGTGTTCAGGCTTAAAGACCAGTGTCAGTTTTGCATGACTTCAGGACTTCTCCTAATCTCTGAACAGTGAAGCATCAAGTCTAAACCCTTGACCCCGAACCGCAGACTCGAAGGTCTTTGTGCCTGAAGCTTGCACGGCAAAACTAGCCCGAAAGTGAAGCTATGACGAGATATGGGAGGAGGCGTTTGGCATTGAAATGGCGCTAGGGCAGGTGTGTTAGGAAAATGCACCTGGGCGCCTGAGTAGCCCGTTTATAATAAGGGTACCCGGTACTACTCAGAGACCTAGGCACTGTACGTACTACCAGGAGTTGCAAAGCCAGGATCCTCCCGTCAAACTCGAAATGCACAGGATGGGGGCTATAGGGATTGCAGTTCGCGGTCCGTGTCGTAGGGTTTCAGGTGTAGGGGTAGATGCTACGCGGGCTTGGGAGCTATGGGCTTCAGGGCCCGGAGGCTGCGAGGCTCGGGACAGGTGCACTGAAGGCTTCGAGTTTTTGCCCCTTACACCAGCAGCTTCTGACCAGACTGTTCTGGGAGTTTCCGAAATTAGGTGTACCTTAGGGTTGCTTTAAAGGGTTACTATAAGGGTACTATAAATGGTCCCGTTAAAGGCCAGCTGTCAAACACACAGCCAAATCAGGTACACAGCCTTGTGTCCTCCCTGATTTGCAAACTACGGTTGATGATCAAAATCCTGCATTACCCATACCTAGACCCCCCAAAGTAGGTAACATAATGGCCCAAAACCTGTAAAAGGCTATTATTCTACATACTTTCGGGGTCCAGGTAAAAAGGAATATACCATTATTCCCATAGCTTAGGTCCTTAAAGTCATGCAAGAGTTATATCATCAACAGTACCAGCAAGCTTGAAACGAGAACGACGTCAAGTTCATGAAGTTGCGCTACGGCATGCAAGTGATCAGGATCCGCTTCTTCCACTACAGCGGGGGAAACATGCAACGAGTCAGGAATCTTGCAGCAGAGCTTCATGCGGTGCAGCACACAGGTTTTGTTTGGGCCTTTCGTCGTTCCAACAGTCCATCCGTCTTTCCTGCCTTCCTTCCTAGAGTCGACACAACTTGAGGATACCATGGGACCAGAAGCATGGGAGGCACTCAGAATCACATCGCTTTATTGTTCCAGCCCCAAAGTTAGTGCCAAGATGTCCTTACCAGATCGGACCATTCTTCTCCAAAACTCCCGGGCAGCGACATCGCAAACCCCGTGTCCACAAGTCACTGTCGTTGAGACCACCCCGCGATTTCTCCAAGTTCTAAACGCCCGAATTCACATCCTAAACAAGCGAAAACTTCAGAACTTCACTCAAAGGCCGAGCTCAAAGCTCGAAACCCTTTCCCGCCTGGTTGCCTGACACTTGAGCAGTCCGGTAGGAGGCTACCTGCATGTGCTGCAACCCAGAGAGCCCAATACCCCTTGATTAAGGAACAAACCTTAAATTAAAAGGGGATTCATATTATGATTTAAGCTATATTCCTAAATTAAGGGGTATTGGGCCCTCTGGGAAGCTAGAGGGTATAAGTATAAGTATAGTTTGAGGGTGCAGAGGGCTAGCAGCTCCAGATTTAACTCGAACCTTTTATGAATTGTGTGGAGTATCGAAGTGCTATGCGACATCCCCACTGACCCGCCCCCCCACCCCGCTCCCGAAGAACGTGAACACGAAGGAATATCAACAGGGAATAAGTCAACAACGACAAGCTGTTGAGCCGATGCAGAGACACATAAATCCACATAGTCCCCAACCCCAGAAAGTTGGAACATAGACCGAGGATGAATAGTGCGAGGATTCCCTGCAATTTGCATTATCATAAAGGGGCAAATGCTCCAAATTTCTGGTTCCCAGTTTTGTCTTTCACGAGACCACCATCGGAGGAGGCTCGTGATTGGCGACTTGCCGAAGAGCTGGTGTCGCCGTTGCTCACAGCGGGGAAGCCGCTTGGAATCTCAACAGCACACCGAGAGCAACAGAAGCAGAAAGCCAGCATCGCCTGCTGCAGCAAGCCGTCCTCCAGAAGAAGGATACTTCTCTCTTGGCTTTTTGCGCACAAAGCCTGATTTAGGCTGTTCTTGGCTGCCCTCAATCGTCAAGTTGAAACCCCCTGAAAGGACCCAGAAAAGCAAGACAAAACAGAGAAGTGCAAACACTCTGTCAAAGCTATGCCTATTAAACCCTTAACCCTAAATCCTAAAGCCTTGTGCATCATGCTCCAGGACATGTTTCCACTGGCGCCTGAGGCATTCCTCGAGGCTTTCAGGCCGATGCGCCGTCGAGCAGCTGTGAGAAGACTTTTGCCAAAAATTATCCGACACCCTATAAGAGCTAAACCTTACAAACCCCATACGAGCCCCAGGCCTTGTTATACAGCTTAATATAGAGGCTTTCTGAGTCCGAATAAGGCATCGGTGTGGAATATGAGTAGATTTCTGTATGTTTAATTGCAGTTGCCGGGACTGTATTGCAATAACAATACTAGTTTTGCCTAATCATACAAAGCTGATAAGCCCGTATGAAAGCTTTACGAATCTGTAGCCCCTAATGGAAGCTTCTATGAATCCTTCAAACCCATATAAGACTAAACTATTCAGACCTACACGTTCAATCCTGAATAATATGACCATCTTAGGAACCCCAAATCCTAAACCCAACATTACAACTCCTACACAAGCTCCAAACCCCTCAAACACACCCTAAACCTTAACCCAAGCGCACCCACGGCCTCCTCCTTCGCTGCTGTGAGCTGTGAGTCCAGGTCCGACGTTTTGGCCTGGAGGCGTTCTAGGGTTGTAGCGGGGTTTTGGGGTCTACGGCCAGCTGGGGTCTAGGGCTTTTGGGATTGGGGATTTGTGGTGGAGTGCTTCTACCGTACTTCCGGTGGCTTCACAACCCGAAATCGCACGCGAAACTCTAGAATTGACTGGTGCCTCTCGACCAGGTTTTTTGAAGCGAGAGGGTAAGACTTTTGGTGCAGGTCTTGACCGGCTAAGACTTGTCTTCATAGGAGCTTCTGGTGCTGGGGAGGGCGCGATGATTTTCGGCTGCAAGGTTTTGGGGTCTCGAAGGTTTAAGTTACTTTGGGATCCGGTTAGCCGGTTTAAGTTACTTTGGGATCCCAGACCACAGAGAGAGAAGACTGAAGTCCCATACCAAGGGGGCCTAAACCCGCAACGAGTCCTGTCCTGCGCGGCCAACGCTTGCTCTTCTCGAAGACGCATTTCCTTGGCCACCTGACACGACTGACTTCGGGCTGAAGGTTTAAGGTTTATGGTAGAAGCCCACAGATTGGAATGCCAACAGCCTCAACTCTCAAGAGTAATGTATAGGGAATCCCAAGACTATTTGGCCTTGATCCAGTTCTCAACTTTATGCGGGTTTACTGTAGGGTCTACTGTGGGAGCCTGGATTCGAAGTCTGGTGTACATGACACTGCACACATATGAAGCTGATGATCCGGCCGATGGAACCATGGTCAAGTGTTGCTCAGACCCCAAAACACACAGGGCGGCAATGGCCTCTTCGGCCGCCGCCCGAAGCTTGTTCTCGAGCTCGGCACTTTGCACCTCCGACTGAAAATGCAAAGCGGGAAACAGCCCAGCTTCACATGTCTCTGTAGATTGGAACTCTCCGGTATTGGGTGCCCTCAAACGCTAAAAGCTAACCTACTACACCTCACACCCTTAAGCCCTCAAGCCCTAAAGCCGAAATCCTGAAACACCAGGTGTTTTCCGGCTTCCGGGTTGCGAATTTAGGGGTTTCAGGGTCTCGGCAAAGTGGAGGCTTCGGAAACTCGGGCAATCGGGCCTGGGACATATAGCCCAACAGAGGTTAACCTTTCGCAGTATAGTAGGATTATACAAGCCCCAAAAGGGTTAAGGGTACCTACTCAGCCCCTAAGTACTGCATGGCAGCAAGTGGAGGGTTTAGGGTTTAGACTTTAGGGCTTTGCCCGACTTTCCGGTGTCCGGTCCCGAAACAACCGCAACGAGCAGTGCTTTCTTGAGACGCCTGCCGAAAACCAGACGAGCAACAGCCCAATTAAACCCTAAACCACATCAGCTTCTGCTTCAACAGCTCGACACCCAAAAAAAAGCCCTAAACCCTCGACACCCTGAAAACCTCCCCTGGAGTCCCACGGCCGTAAGCAAAAACTTAGAACTACCACCGAACTGGCAGCCAAAACCTGAGGAGGCTCCCCCCGCAATAATGAGGCCGGACTCAACCCTCTCGCCCTAGAGCCCTGAAGCTCGCCAGCGAGGTCCCAAACCCTAAACCCCAAAACCCTGAAACCCTACATAAACCCTAAACCCTAAAGCCCCAAAACCCTACATAAACCCTACAACCCTAAACCCCAAAAACCCTAAAACCTTAAACCCCAAAAACCCTAAACCCTAAAACCCAAAAACCCTAAAATCCTACTTAAACCCTAAAGCCCTCCCAGGCAGTGGCCTCCAGGTCCGTGCAGCGCTTTTCGGACGCCTCCAACCTGCTCTTGAGCTGCTCAGCCACCTGCCAGCTTAAGTGCTCTCGGTTTAGGGTTTGGGAGTTTAGGGTTCCCAGTCTAGATTTTGGGTTTAGGTTTTAAGTGTCCGCAATTGAGGTTCGGGGGTTAGGGAATATTGGGGTAGAGTTTAGCGCTTAATATCAAAACAACAATGACGTCTCGGCACTTTTGCTGCTGGAAGATATTCATCGCTTAATTGTAGCACGGGAAAAACGGACAACTAATCCTACTCTAGTCAGAGCCCTCGGGATAAAAGGCCTTCGGGGCTGCATAGATCTCTCTTTGCCTGTAAGCTTCAAAGTAATTTTTACCCCTTCATAGTTTCAATTCCTTTCCCAATCTCAGCACAACCAAGAGTCAAGTCTAAACTTTCTAAACCCTTGACCTTGAAATGTGGACTCGAAGGTCTTTGTGCTTCAAGTTGAACGCAGAACTAACTTGAAAGTGAAGCCATGACTAGATAAGGGAGAAGGTGTTTGGCGTTCAAATGGCGCTTGGGGCAGGAGTGCCGGGAAAGTGCACCGTGCGACCAGGAGTTGCATAGTCAGGATCCTCCCGTCAAAATCGAAAACCACACGATGGGCTATAGGGTTTGCAGGTCACGGAAAGAGCCACAGGGTTTCAAGTGTAGGGGTAGATGCTACAGGGTTTGGCCACGAGAGCCATGGGGTTCAGGGACTGGTGCACTCAAGGCTTCGAGTTTTGCCCCTTGCACCAGCAGCTGGTAACCAGCCAAAGCAGAGGCTGCCACCAAGGGCAAAACTGGTACGGAAACTAGCAGCAAGCTTGAAACGAGCACGACGGCAAGTTCATTAAGCTGTGCTAAAGCATGCTAATGATCAGGATCCGCTTCTGCCACTACAGCCGAGGAAAGATGCAACCAGTAAGGAATCATGCAGCGGAGGCACAAAGCTTTTGATTTGGCAATTTGGCTTCATGCCCTTTCAACAATCCATCCGTCTTTCTCGAGTCGAAACAACTTCAGGGGACCATGGGACTAGAAACCCTGCAGATGGGGCAAAGATGTCCTTGCGGTATCGGGTCGGGCTTCTTTAAACATCCTAGGTAGCTTCGCCTTAACCCCTATGCCCCCATCTCATTATCGTTCAGACCCCACCGCAATTCAAAGCTCCACATGCCCGAATTCACATCCTACAAGGCGAAAACAACAGAGCTTCACAAGACCCAAAAACCCATGTCACAAGCTCGAAGCCCTTTCCACGCCTGGTTGCCTGACACTTGAGCAGTCCGGTAAGAGGCTACCTGCATGGACAGGAAGCTGATGGACAGAACCTCTAAGCTCAACTTCTGGGGGCTAGGATACGAGTATACCAGTATACCTGCAGGCTGCAGGAGGCTAGTTTACGTCAAGCTTTTATGGTCCACGTGGAGTACCGACGTCCCACTCTGACCCACGCCCCTGTGCCCCCGAACGACAGGAACACGAAGGAATACCTACAAGTCAAATACCTTGAAAGGCAAGTGTTCCAACTGTCTGGTTTCTACTCCACTCTTTCACGAGACCACCATCGGAGGAGCTTCGCAACTTGCTGGAGAGCTGGTGCTGGTAGTGCTCCCAGCGGGGAAGCCGCTTGGGATCCCGACAGCACACCGAAACCAACAGAAGAAGAAAGCAAACATCGCCCTGTGCCTTGTGCAGCAAAGCTTGCCCCAGAAGAAGGATACTTGTCTCGAAGCTTTGCACAAGGGTTTAACAGTTTAACTAGGCTGTTCTTGCTAGGCCGTTGTTGGCTGCCTCTTGCATCAATCGTCAAGTTGAAACTCCCTGAAAGGACCCAGAAAAGCAAGACAAAACAGAGAAGTGCAAACACTCTGTCAAAGTTGTGCCTAAACCCTAAAGCCTTATGCAGCATGCTCCAGGACATGTTTCCTCTGGGGCCTGAGGCATTCCTCGAGGCTTTCAGGCCGATGCGCCGTCGAGCAGCTCTGAGAAGACTTTTGCCAAAAAGTATCCGACACCCTATAAGAGCTAAACCTTACAAACCCTATACGCCCCGAGCCCCAGGCCTTATTCTACAGCGTAAAATAGAGGCTGTCCTCAGTTCAAACAAGGCATCGGTGTGGATTATGAGGAGAATTCTGTATGCTGAATTACAGTTGCCGGGACTGTATTGCAATAACAATAGTTTTGCTTTATCATACAAAGCTTATAGGCCCGTTTGAAAGCTTTACGAATCCTTAACCCCGAATGCAAGCCTAATTTGTGAATCCTTCAAACCCATATAAGACTAAACTATTCAAACCTGCACGTTCAATCCTGAAAAATATAACCATCTTAGGAACCCTAACTCCTAAACCCAACATTACAACTCCTACACAAGCTCCAAACCCCCACACCCTAAACCTGAACCCAAGCGCACCCACGGCCTCCTCCTTCGCTGCTGTGAGCTGTGAGTCCAGGTCCGACGTTTTAGCCTGGAGGCGTTCCAGGGTTGTAGCGGTCTACGGCCAGCTGGGGTCTAGGACTTTTGGGATTGGGGATTTGTGGTGGAGTGCTTCTACCGTACTTCCGGTGGCTTCACAACCCGAAATCGTATCTATTGTACTAGGGCTAGGCTCCCTTATATGTACTTCGCGAAACTCTAGGTGCCTCTCGACCAGGGCATTTTGAAGCGAGAGGGTAGGGTTCTTGGCCTTGTCTTCATAGGGGTTTCTGGTGCAAAGCTTTTGGTGCTGTGGGGCGGGGGGGATTTTCGGCTGTAAGGTGTTGGGGTCTCGAAGGTTTAAGTTACTTTGGGATCCCAGTCCCCAGGCCATAGAGAGAGACGACTGAACTCCGAGACAAGGGGCCTCCCTAAACCCGCAACCAGTCCTGTCCTGCGCGGCCAACGCTTGCTCTTCTCGAAGACGCATTTGCTTGGCCACCTGACACGACTGACTTCGGGCTGAAGGTTTAAGGTTTATGGTAGAAGCCCACAGATTGGAATGCCAACAGCCTCAACTCTCAAGAGTAATGTATAGGGAATCCCAGCGCTATTTGGCCTTAATCCAGTTTCCAACTTTATGGGGTTTACTGTAGGGTCTACTGTGGGAGCCTGGATTCGAAGTCTGGTGTACATGACACTGCACACATATGCGGGCTGATGATCCGGCCGATGGAACCATGGTTAAGTGTTGCTCAGACCCCAAAACACAGGGCGGCAATGGCCTCTTCGGTCTCCGCCCGAAGCTTGCTCTCGAGCTCGGCACTTTGCACCTCCAACTGAAAATGCAAAGCGGGAAACAGCCCAGCTTCACATGTCTCTATAGATCGGAACTCTCCGGTATTGGGTGCCCTCACACGCTAAAAGCTAACATACTACACCTCAAGCCCTCAAGCCCTCAAGCCAGAATCCTAAACACCAGGTGTTTTCCGGCTTCCGGGTTGCGAATTTAGGGGCTTCAGGGTCTTGGCAAAGTGGAGGCTTCGGAAACTCGGGGAATCGGGCCTGGGACATATAGCCCTACAGAGGTTCACCTTTCGCAGTATAGTAGGATTATATAAGCCCCAAAAGGGTTAAGGGTACCTACTCAGCCCCTAAGTACTGCATGGCAGCAAGTGGAGGGTTTAGGGTTTGGAGTTTAGGGCTTTGCCCGACTCTCTCCGGTGTCCGGTCCCGAAACAACCGCAAGGAGCAGGGCTTTCTTGAGACGCCTGCCGAAAACCAGACGAGCAACAACAGCCTAAACCCTGAACCACATCAGCTTCTGCTTCAAAAGCTCGACATCCTGAAAGAGCCCGAAACCCTCGACACCCTGAAAACCTCCCCGGGAGTCCCACGGCCGTAAGCAAAAACTTGGAACTACCACCGAACTGGCAGCCAAAACCTGAGGAGGCTCCCCCCGCAATCATGAGGCCGGACTCAACCCTCTCGCGCTAGAGCCCTGAAGCTCACCAGTGAGGTCCTAAACCCTAAACCCCAAAACCCTAAAACCCTACATAAACCCTAAACCCTAAAGCCCCAAAACCCTACATAAACCCTAAAACCCTAAACCCCGAAAAACCCTAAAATCCTACTTAAACCCTAAAGCCCTCAACACAAAAGCTCCCAGGCAGTGGCCTCCAGGTCCGTGCAGCGCTTTTCGGACGCCTCCAACCTGCTCTTGAGCTGCTCGGCCACCTGCCAGCTTAAGTGCTCTCGGTTTTAGGGTTTAGGAGTTCAGGGTTCGCAGTCTAAAATTTGGGTTTAGGTTTTAAGTGTCCGCAATTGAGGTTCGGGGCTTAGAGAATATTGGGGTAGAGTTTAGCACTCAATATCAACGTAACAATCATAACAATGACGTCTCGGCACTTTTGCTGCTGGAAGATATTCATCGTTTAATTGTAGCACGGGAAAAACGGACAACTAATCCTACTCTAGTCAGAGCCCTCGCGATAAAAGGCCTTCGGGGCTGCATAGATCTCTCTTTGTCTGTAAGCTTCAAAGTAATTTTTACCCCTTCATAGTTTCAATTCCTTTCCCAATCTCAGCACAACCAAGAGTCAAGTCCAAACTTTCTAAACCCTTGACCCTGAACTGTAGACTCGAAGGTCTTTGTGCTTCAAGTTGAACGCAGAACTAACTTGAAAGTGAAGCCATGACTACATAAGGGAGAAGGCGTTTGGCATTGAAATGGCGCTAGGGGCAGGAGTGCTGGGAAAATGCACCGTGCGACCAGGAGTTGCATAGTCAGGATCCTCCCGTCAAAAGCGAAAATCACACGATGGGCTATAGGGTTTGCAGGTCACGGAAAGAGCCACAGGGTTCGGTTCCAGGTGTAGGGGTAGATGCTGCTGGGTATGGCCCTGAGAGCTATGGGGTTCAGGGCTTAGGGTTTAGGGTTTCGGGACGGGATCATTGCTTCGAGCTTTGCATCTGACAAAAGCAGCTGGTAACCAGCTGTCACACACACACACACAGCTAAAGCAGAGGCTGCCACCAAGGGCAAAACTGGTACGGAAACTAGCAGCAAGCTTGAAACGAGCACGACGGCAAGTTCATTAAGCTGTGCTAAAGCATGCTAATGATCAGGATCCGCTTCTGCCACTACAGCCGAGGAAAGATGCAACCAGTAAGGAATCATGCAGCGGAGGCACAAAGCTTTGATTTGGCTTCATGCCCTTTCAACAATCCATCCGTCTTTCTCGAGTCGAAACAACTTCAGGGGACCATGGGACTAGAAACCCTGCAGATGGGGCAAAGATGTCCTTGCGGTATCGGGTCGGGCTTCTTTAAACATCCTAGGTAGCTTCGCCTTAACCCCTATGCCCCCATCTCATTATCGTTCAGACCCCACCGCAATTCAAAGCTCCACATGCCCGAATTCACATCCTACAAGGCGAAAACAACAGAGCTTCACAAGACCCAAAAACCCATGTCACAGGCTCGAAGCCCTTTCCACGCCTGGTTGCCTGACACTTGAGCAGTCCGGTAAGAGGCTACCTGCATGTGCAGGAAGCTGATGGACAGGACCTCTAAGTTGAATTCCTTTTCGCGAGGCTAGGGTACAAGTATAGCTTAAGGCTGCAGGAGGCTAGCGTCCGGGGTTTACTTCAAGCTTTTTCATGGTCTGCGTGGAGTACGGAAGTTACATTCTGACCCGCGCCCCTGCGCTCCCGAACAACATGAACACGAAGGAATACCTACAAGTCAACTACCCCGACCCTATAAACCCTAAACCCTGAATGTATCTCAAGGGGCAAGTGTTCCAACTGTCTGGTTCCTACTCCAGTCTTTGGCGAGACCACTATCGGAGGAGGCTGGAGAGTTGGTTTTGCCATTGCTTACCGCGGGGAAGCCGCTTGGGAACCCAACAGCACACCGAAAGAAACAAGCAGAAAGCGCACATCGCATTGTGCAGCAAACCGCGCCCCAGAAGAAGGATACTTGTCTCGAAGCTTTTGCATAAGGGTTTACGGGTTTAACTAGGCTGTTATTGGCTGCCTCTTGCCTCAACCGTCAAGTTGAAACTCTCCCAAAACGACCCAGAAAACCAACACGAAAGGGAGAAGTGCAAAAGTTGTGCGGGGACTTGTTTCCCAAACACTAAAGCCTACAAGCCCCAGAACGCTGTAGGTCCTCAACCGTAACGCAGATCCCTTCAGCCCTAAACCCCAAACCCTATGCAACCCAAACCCTGCACCCGCGTGCAGCAGCACGGCCTCCTCCTTGGCTTCTTTGAGCTGTGATTCCAGGTCCGACGTTTTGGCCTGGAGGCTTTTTAGGGTGTCGGGTGTGGTCTGTCGGGTTGAGGGGTTTAGGGAAGTTTAGGCTACAGGGCTGTGGGCACGGACCAAGCATCTCAAATCCAGTGTTTCCGATGGGGGAGCTCCGAGTTGAAGCTCGACTAGGGTCCCCCCTATATATATATATATATATATATATATATATATATATATATGTATACATATATATATATATATATGTATATACATATACATTGTTATTACTATTATTATTATGTGATTATTAGTATTACTGACATTACTATATATGTATTTCGCGAAACTCTCGGATTAACTGGTGTGTCAGGAGGATTAGGTTTTGGGGAAGGAGTGGTGGACTTCGTACATAGACGACAAAAAACCTTTGGGGGGGCTCTGGATTGTTTGCAAGGTTCTGCTTTTGGCGTGAGTCTCGACCGGCTGTGAGTGACTTCGTAGGGTTCCGGTGCTGAAGTGCTTCGGGCTTCTGATGCTGCGGGGGAGGTGTTTACATAGGGTGTTGGGCCCTGAAGGGTTTAGGTCAATTGAGGATTTAAGGTTTAGGGTTTAGGGTTTAGGTCAATTGAGGATTTAAGGACCCGAAGAACAGATCGCTGACTGAAATTTGATACAAAGTGCTCCCAAGATGGTAAACAGAATGAAACCAGTCCTTTCCTGTGCGGCCAATGCTTGCTCGTCTCGAAGACGCGTTTCCGTGGCCACCTGGCTTCGGGTATTGGGTTTACTGGAACAGAAAACAGGTTGGGCTGTAGACTACATTGTAGATACTCCCGTTATAACATGTTGGACGCCTCGGATTTTCGGGCAGACATCTCTGTTAGCTGCTGACAGTTAGCTTGTTGTAGTTCGTGGGCTTGTCCCTGTGACAGCGACTTCTTCGTGCGCAAGCACGATTCCTGAGTTGGTAGTGAAGGTCTGAATTCACCTGTCTGCTGACATTGCATACTCCAATCCTGAAAGCCCGCACAGGCCTGCACATGAAGCCCATCAGCCTAAACTCCACGAGCTCAAACTCCTGATCTGAAGCCTCAAAACGGAACACATAAGCCCTGAAAGCTCACACAACTTCAATGCGGAACCTCTGCAACTCCAAGTAAACCTATCTCAGAACGGTGAACCAATAAGTCGTCAGGATTTCGGAGTCTAGTCTGGTTGTAGTCTTGGGATTCCGGCCCTGTGTCCAGATTGTAAGTTTTGGTTTATCCGGAAGGGAATGTAGGGGCCTTAACAGTTTGACTGTGCTTCAATTGGGGGCATATTAGCCGCCTGCATAACACAATTATGCATGAGACTCTAGGGAATCTGCTTGCAAATGAATATCTGCTCTCATGACTCATGACGACTTGACGAAGCCTTTAAACAACTCGCATAAAGCTAGATGACGGCTTGACGTTCTTATGATAAAGTTAAAGCATCCATAAACAGATTTAGCACACTTTTCTTAAAAAAAAAAAAAAACATCCGCCTGCTCGAAGGCGGCTTTCAAACGGATCTCGCCTTCGTCGGTAGCGGCCTTCCGTCTGGGGTTTGCAGGGTTTAGGGCCTTAGTGGGATTCTGTTGGGGAGGGTGTGGTGGGATGGCCCGGGATGCTGAGGACGATGATTGCAATCACCATGTGATGCTGATTGTAATGTTGAGAGTGAGGGTGATGATGATGACGATGGTGATGATGGCGACGATGATGATGGCGACGATGATGACGGTGATGATGATGCTGCTGATGATGTTGTTGACGATGACCGGGGTGATGAGAATAATGTTACTGATCATGGTAATGAAGGTTATGATGATGATGATGATGGTAGTGCTGATGGTGCTGTTGTTGATGATGATGGTGATGACGATGTTGGCGGCATATGACGACTGCTCGCAGCGCTGCTTGTCTCAAGATGAGGGGGGCAGAATTCGTGATGACGGGATACTTGCAGTAGGGTTTTTGCATCAAGAAGGATCACATTTGGCAAACTGCCTGAATATGCTTCATGCACACATATCTGGTATCCGATAAAGCCTGAAATCAAACAAAGGCCGCCAAACTCTGATCCCTTGAAGCCCTGAACCCGGGGCACTAAATCCAGGTCCGAAATATTTTGGGATCCTTATAGTAAGGAAGGATCCTACTATTTAGGGTACTATATGAGGGTCCTATTTCGGAAACTCCCAAATATTGCCAGCCTTCGCAGCCTGCAAGGCTGTTTGCAGCTCCGTGATCTGCTTTGCGGTCTTCGCACAGAAGTGGGCTCCAGAATATAGATGTAGGGTCTTAGGACTAGGGTTTCAGGCTTCGGATTTAGAGTTAAGGACTCAGGGTTTAAGGCTCAGGATTTCGATGCTCGCTTTGACTTCTTCAAAAGGTGTTTAAGTGCTTTTGAAATTCTGTTTACTGTTTACCGGGCTGTACAGGGATCCGGGGCTTCATTGAGTCCAAGGGTAAAAGGAGGGACCCTTAATAAGGACCCCTAGGTTTATACCCTTAATATAGCTATTACATACCCATTATATGGCCCATTATATCCTAAACCCTAAACCCTCAATCTAGCCCCTTATGGTAGTCCTTATAGACCCCTTTCAAAGAAACCCTCTTCCCTGTGGGTGGGGGTCCCCACTAAGGGTCTCTGCTTTTCCCCTTCGCTTTAGGGATCCTGGGCATCGCTTTGGGGAGCCTCGGCTTCAGGGGTGTGTATTCCGGCTTTGGGATTCTGGGACTTAGGATATAAGGCTACCTTTAAGGGGCTCCTTTGAAGGGAGCTATAGGGTTTTAGGGTTTAGGGTTTGGGTTGATGATATAAATCCTGCATTACCTTAAGGGCCCTTAACTATGGGATTTATGGTATATTCCTCCCAAAGGGTCCAAAGTACCTATATGGTAGAATGTAGGGTTTCTATATTAGGAATGACTATTATGATTTGGGCGAGTATCCCATAACAGTACCTAGGACCCTTTGGGCCTTATAATGGGTCATGCAGGATTTATATCATCAACCATAGGGTTTGCAGTCCGCGATTTGCATCCTTTTGGGGACGGGGCACTGAGGGCTTGGGATGTTGAAGCTTGCATGCTGGTGCTTAATGTAGGGGCCTTGCATAATAAAAAACATAGGATGTTGGTGCCCATGATACTATTAGTTGGAGTTTCATATGAGGGGCCCTAATAATGAAAAAAATGTGGTTTTAGGTGCCTATCATACTATAAATAGAAGAAGGAACCCCCCAAAATAATATTGGTAATTATTCAGGCCCACCCATATTACAGCATCAGGGCATAGGGGTTCAGTTTTTTGTTTTTTTGCCAGATCGGGGTTCAAGGTTTAGGGCTGAGGGAAGGTTAGCGGATGTTGTAACTTTGCGGGGGCGGGGGGGGGGGGGGGGATGAGGCTTCGTTTCTTGGAAGTTGCTGGTGGGAGTGTAGGCTCAGCGTTAAAGGTTGTGCTCGCAAACCATCTTGAGAAGAACGAAGATAATCAACACGATGAAGAGATGATGCTTATCATGATCATGGTCATGATCGAGTCAGGTGCTGATATTGGTGGCGACGGCGGGGCTGGTGGCGGTGGCGGCGATGGCCGCAGCGGTGGCGGTCCTGATGCTGATGGTGATAGTGATGGTTGTTGCATGTGTACCTGGGCTCCTGCATAAGGCTGTCACGTCTTCGTGCCTTCCATCTGGACTTACCGTGTGGCCCAAGTCTCCTCATTCCGGAACCACAACCCACAAACGCCGAGACATAAGGCGCAACAATTTGGAAGCCCGGATATCCCAGACCTAGACCCTAACCCCCATTATAGACAGAACCGGACTCTGTTCCCCCGCCTGATCCTGAGCTGTCTGTAGGCGTGTCTCGGCGTCGCTGGCAGCAGCCTCCAGAGGTGCTTCTGCTTGGGAAACATTCAAGTCCTAAGGATCCAAGTGCGCAAAGTGTGCGTTCTAAGTACCAGAAAACAGTCAGAGTATGGAATTCGAAAGCTAAAACCCGACTGTTTGGGTGCCGCTGGACCCTCTATGGGGGGTCAAGGACCCAAAGAGCCTCTACAGTCGGGGTGCCCCAAAATATCTGGGATTCCGACAGGATTTAGATGAGGTCTCTTTGGGGGACTCAAAAATAGTTTACAAGGATTAGGCGGCCACATTTAGGGTTTCGGAGTCTAGGGTTAAGGTTTTAGGGCTACTGGGGCTTAGGATTGTCGGTGAAGGGTTGATGTGGTGCAAAGTCGTGGGTTGCGAGCTTAGGGACCTGGATTTCCCACTGAACAGATGCCAAAGCCCAACACCACCAGACCAAACATCGAAATCTGCAAAGCAAAGTAGAAAATTCCCTGTAGCCGGGCTCCAAAGTTCCAAGCGCCCTAAACCCCGAACTCCCAAATCCGCAACCCTAAGTCCAAGAGCCGGAATCCTGCAATCTGCGCCCGGAGTAGGCTTGCCATACTGGCCTTGGCACTGTCGAAGGCTGCCTGTAGCTCAGCGCTTTGCTCTCTGGCCTGGGAAACAATTGATCCCCAATTCAAGCCGACAGAAATTTCCCTAGCCTTGGCTAATCTTGGGTTTAGGCTGTCGATCCCCAACTCAAATGGACAGACATTTCCCTAATCTTGCGGGGGGAGGGAGCTCCTCCCGCGATCCGCGGACCTACAACTAAGGGTCTATAGGTTGTGATCTGCTACTGCATCTCCTGAAACCTCCTACCTGAAGAAGCAGGACAATCATCCAGCCGCTACCTGTGATCCTTACTGCTAGCTTTCAGACATCGCGCCGTCAACCCTGAACGGCGAACCCCCCCAGCACTGCAAGGACTATTTACGAGACGTGCAAGGGGGTGTAGAGGCCCTGGTGTCCAGTAATGAAGCTTTTGCAAAGTATAGTAGATGATGGAACTTGGGTTTGGCATTTAGCTGGACCCCCAAAAGTATATAGAATAATGGCCTTTTATAGGTTTTGGGCCATTATTCTACCTACTTTTGGGGGTCTAGGTAGGGGTCAGGAAGTGTATGAATGACGTGCGTGGGGTTCCTCAGAGAAGGGCAGGGAGGTCGTTTTCTGGGGCCTTTGGGGGATCTCTGGGCTCCTACGGTTGATGATATAAACTCTAGGGTTCCTTTAAAGGGATCTATAAGACTACCTTTAAGGGGCTCCTTTAAGGGATCTATAGGGTTTTTAGGGTTTAGGGATATAAATCCTGCATTACCTTAAGGACCCTAAACCATGGGAAGTATGGCATATTCATTGTTACGGGTAGTGCAGGACATATACACCATCAGCCGTATAATTGTCATTTATGAGGTTCGGGCAGGTTCTCAAGGATCCCGGGGGTCAATAGCTGCCCTGAACCGTACATAAACCCCCAAGGGAGCGAACAGAAGCGATGCCTTTTAATCCAAACTTGCCCCTCAGAACAGCCCGACAGCCCAACTCCAGACCCAAACCCATGGAAAACCCTATCATAATCAAAAGTATCATCATGATTTTCGTTGTTATTATGATTGCGAGTTTTGTCATAGTTGCAAATTGTTGTTATTGTACTTGAAAAATGTTTTCCTGATAACCCAGCCCCGAAACAAAAAAACAATCCTAAACGGCTGACCGGATGTCCCCAATGGAAGCCCCCCGACAGCTTTCGGAAGCCTGGAGCCAGCACTGAAATCGAGTCCCCAGGCCCTGAATGCTAAACCATAGCGGTTTAGAGTTTAGGACTTCGAACCAAACTGAAAGCCCGAAACTTGAAACCCCAAAGCCATAACTTTTGGGCATGTTAAGGGTTCTAGAGGGATTTAGGGCTTAACTTAAACCGTAAACACTGCAGAACCCTAATATTGGTGCGCTAACAACTCGAACAGGGTTTGGGGGTATATTGTACTATAGCTATAATAATGATAAGGAGCCCCGAAAATAGTATAGGTACTCATTTAGGCCCCTACATTAAATCCTTATAATGGCCCTTATGGTAGCCTTTACAGACCCCTTTAAAGGAACAGCCTAAACTCCAAAGGCCCTATGTAGAAACCAAAACACGTCCCAAAGCCTGCGTTCTAGCCGTCTCGAGCTCCTTTTGGCTGGCGTGCGCCGCTGCCTCTGAGGGCAGAAGATTCTGCAAGGTTCATGGGTCACGTAAGGGTTCTATAGGTTTAAGGTTTAGGGGTTTGGCGTCTAGGGTTAAGGGTTTAAAGTATAGTATAGCTGTGCCCCATGACTTTCGTACTGCAACCCAAAGCCCAGTTGCTGAACCCCCAATCTCTGGCCGTAAGCCCTAAAACCCTGGCAATGAGCGCTGTGCATGCACCGTCAACCTAAGAATAGGTTTGTTGAATCCAATAGCCCTTCACACTTAGCTTCACCACCTGATATGGAAGCCCAATAAAGAGGCCTGCTTGGCCTTTTGCTGGCCACCAGTGGGCACTGGTTTGCTGGGCCTGGAGGGCCCTGCACAGGCAGGCTCTTCCTCCAACAAATAGTCGGAGTATTCATCGTCGGTGGCTGGCCTGGCCTTCTTTGCCCCTTGGCGGGCCCTGTCCTCAGCCGGTGGTGCCTCAGCCATCTGCCGCTTTTGGGAGCCGGCGCACATGCCTCCAGGCTCACCACGCGTCCGCTTCGGACAGCTTTGCCTGAAGCGACTCTGCCACCTGTGTGTCGAATTCTTTCAGGGTGTCTCCCAGCGTACTTCGGCATCCAAAGCATCCCTGCACTGTTCCACATGGAGATCACAGTTCGGGGCTTGAGGGTTTAGCAAACCCTATAGACTCTATAGACCCCAAGATTCCTCTTGCACCAGAAATGCACGGTGATAGCAAGCCAGGCCGCAGTAACACAAACATTGACAGCCTTTCCATGAGCCGTCGGTCGCAACGTTTGCTGAAATGAGCCTGTATAATCTGCTGGAGTGCTGGCATATGCCTTCTTCTGGATAATGCAGGATTTGCGAACAAAAAGAACTGCATACGAGTTTGGTCAGGCCAGCATCTAGCTAGCAGCTAGCCTGCACAAATCCGTGATACAGAAAATCCCCAAGTCCCGAAGACCCCTCACCCTCCTAAACCCTAAACTCCTAAAACCCTAAACCCTAAAACCCTAGAGCCCCAAACCCTTAAACCCACAAAACCCCGAAGCTTAAAACACCTCAGGCCTGGCAGTTCCTGAGCCCACGAAATCCCAAAGCTGCGCCTGGTTGCCGGAGGCCATCGAAGCGGCCTCTTCGGCTTAGGCTTCAGTGTTTAGGTTATATATATATATATATGCATATATATATATATGTATGTAAATATGTTTTTGGAATCAGAGTCCCAAAACCATGATAGGGATGGTTTTTTAGTATCCAGTTCCATAGTGGTAGTGTTTATGGACGCTCTCTGGGTTCGCTGCACCATTGAGACACAACGCTTGGGTTTGGGGCACGCGGTTTAGGGCTGGCGCTTGAGGGCTCACGGATTAAAGTTTACCTGGGCCCTAACCCTACCTTTTCAGGGCTTCTTCTGATGATTTACACTTCGATATAAAAGCCCTAAAACGGATACTTCGATGTAAAAGCCCTTAAACAAATACTTCGATATAAAAGCCCTTAAACAGATACTTCGATATAATAAAAACCATTAAAACGATCGCTTATTTGCCAAAGGAATGGCTGACGGTTTGGGGTGCGGGGTTGTTGAACTTGCTATCCTCAAGCCGGAGGCAGAAAGCCGAAACCCAAAAAGCACCCGGCCTTCGAAGCCGACAACCCCGGGACTCCTAAACCGGCTCAGGCTACGGTTTGGGAATTAGAGTTTAGGTTAGAGCTGGTGGTTTTGTGCACAATGAAACCCACTGACATCCTATACATTCCCCATAAATCCTGCAAAACCCCATACTACCCTCCAACACCCGCCCATCCCTACAACCCTAGATAAAAAGTGCGCTAAACTCCAACTACGATCTCCCTAAACCCTAAACCCACCCTAAACTCTGTAGACCCTAAACCCTGCCTATACCCTATAGACCCTAAACCCTGAACCCTAGGGTTTAGGGTTTTAGGGGCTTAGGGGTTTAGGGCTTAGGGGTTTCGGATTTAAGGGTTTAGGGGTTTAGGGCGTAACCCTTAACTTGAATCCCCCCCCCCGGCCCAGGCCCAAAGAAGAGCCTCGTCCTTGGCGGCTCGGAGCTGGGTCTCCAGCTCCGCGGACCGGGCCTGACAGTTGCAGGGTTTAGGGTCTTTAGGGTCTTTAGGGTTTAGGGTTTAAGGTTTAGGGTTGAGGGTTTAGGCTTGAGGGTTTAGGGTCTACAGGGTTTAAGGGTTAAGCTCTTTTTTGCAGGATGTCAGAAGAATTTAGTGCAGTATCCGTATGTTTTAATTAGGAGGTTCGGGTTGCGAAGGAGAGAACAACGCTATTCTATGGAAGCGTTGAAAGCTTCATCAGATCCTGGGAAGGATCTTCAAGAGGCTTAGTAAGGGCTTTGTAAAGGTTGCATTCTACACGAAGGGATGCCCGAAGTTCGTCCGCTGGTTAAGCAAAACAGGTCACTGTTCAGCTTCCATCTTGGCTCGGGAAAGGGTAGTTATAATGGAGGTTGCAAAGAATGCGTTGATAGCCTTTTGGGTTGTGTCTGAAGTGGGGCTACGTTACTGGTCTCCGAAAAGAACACCTGAAAATATACGAACCTTGCCAAGGATCCCTCTAGACATCTACATCCGTATGTATATATATATATACACATACATACACACATGCATGCATACATACATACATGCATAAATACGGTCGTACATACGTACATACGTGCATGCGTACGTACATACATGCATACAAACGCACATAGAGACAGCAAGCCTGGTTATCAACCCTGCTTCTTAAACAAAACCATCACTGCTACCACCCACTGGACATCCCCGAACCTTCTAATACACATCCCACCGTTCTATGCCCTATGGACCAAACGCTACAGACACCTGTTAAACGAGAAACCTAAGCCGGTAAGACCGCTTTCCATTCAATACTTCTTATCTTCAGCAAAGGTCCCTGTAAAAGCCCGTTAGAACCACATAAAAAACCCATGAAACTTGCCTTGACACAACATGCAATGCAAACACAAACTTACCAAAATTCTTAACCCGAAACCCTACATCGTCAACTCGAAACAGCAAAATCAAACCGATAGCTTTGGCCTCGGCTGTGCTCAGGGATGCAGAAAGCTCCTGCTCCTTCGCCGCAGCCTGTGGTAGGGGCTTAAAGTTTAGCGTTTAGGGTTAGGGTTTAGCTCCTTCGCCTGGGGCAAGGTCCCCAAACAGGGTTCGAAGGGGCCTCAATCATTCGCGTGCCCTCCGCGGTTTATCAACTTTAATGGGGCTCCGCTAAGGATTCCTTTACTTGATTGGTTCCAGAAAAGTTTCATGAGGCCCTGTTAAATTCTGACAGGGTCTAGGGTCTGGGGGTATGGTATATCAAGGTATACCTGCAATCAAGAACCCTATAAGGAATAATGTTGGTATTTGTTCGCGCTCCGCGATGGCCTGTGAGACAAGCACCAAGACAAGGCCAAGTGTGAATCCTATGATGGGTAGACCAAGACCTGTCTGGAAGGGGGATGCCAGATGGATGCGGCCCCAAACGACAAGATGGTCTCAGGTGTTTGGCAGAACTTCCGGTTCTCAGCTTACCCTAAACCCTAAACTGGTAACAACTATGAGGGGCCGCTTTCATGCACATTCTAAAACATGAGGCTGGGGCGTCATTGAAACTTGCAAACCACGTCGACACCACGGTCCCTTATTGTTTTAGCGTGTAGGTAGGGTTTGTCGAATCAGCCCGGCTGCTTGGAGGATCATGGGACTTAGTAAGTAAGGTTATAAGTACCTTAATTGGGGTTATAAGTAGTTATAAGTAGAGTTACCCTAGTTATAAGCCTAGTTACGAAGTCCCATGATCCTTTAAGTAGGCCCTAAGCCCTAAACCCCATACATCCCTTTAAGGAACCCTATAGATCCCTTTAAAGAGGCCTGTAAGAACCCTTACTAAGCAAACCCTGTTCCTTTAAGTACTCCTGCCTGCTCCTTCTGCGATGCGAGCTGCTTCTCCAGCTCGGCCACTGTGGCCTTTTTGGCACATTTTGGGAGTTTCCGAAAATAGGAGACCCGAATATAGTCCCTGAATAGTAGCATCCATATTTTGAGGACCCCAAAAGAAGGTACCCTGTATTTTCGGAAACTCCCATATAATATGTCCGAACATCCGGCTTGGTAGATTGGACTTTGACCAATCTTAGATCATTGTACTCCAAACCAATCTTTCGATGTGTTTTTGCACTCTACCGGAACCACCAAAGCTGCTCTCTAGGAGCTACATATGGTTGTTGGTTGCAGGAACCCTAAATCCTGAACCCTAAACTCGAAAAGCCGCAGACAACGCTGAAATCAGGACACCATTGGCCTTCTCTACAACGGGACAATAACCTCAACAGCCTCCAATGGGGTTTAGGGTTTCAATATGAAGCCAAGCTGGACTCAGTTAGTTACTTGCAATGAAGGACAACCAAGCGCCAACAGCATATTCTCTACACACCAGAACCCAAATAGATTCGACATTTTTTTCTCTATCCAATGTTTGCAGGCAGCCCCTGATGCGAAGAACCTGGCAACCGTGTTCGACCCAAGAACTTTCAATTTAAGGAGAGGCTGGGTGGACGGACAGCTTTAATCTTCAAGGGCCTCATACGGGACTAATATCCGGTAAAACAGGGGCCCTGTACCCTTATGCATATGGGAGTTTCCGAACATAGGGGACCCTAATCTAGTACCCTAAATAGCAGGATGCTTATTATAAGGACCCCCAAAATAAGGTACCCCCCTCAGTTACCGGAAACGCCCATATGAATTCCTACCTGGTCCGCGAGCCTTGAATCTTGAATCCTTTTAAGGTCCATTACGCCCCAAACCGTGCAGGGTTCATTTCTTTTTTTAGGAATTCCTATGAATATCTATTTGAGCAGTAAAGCTAAACCCTGAACGCCTGAACCCCAAGCCCTAACCCCTGAACCCCAAAAAAACCTCGGTTCATTTCGTCGTTCAGGATTTTCCCGGCCTGGGATGAACTCAACTCTTTCTCCTTCGCCGCTGCCTTTCAAGCGGATTAACAGAAGGGTCTTAACACGTGTTTCATAATCATAAAAAACAATGCTAATAGCAGTAGAAATAACAATATAAGGGCCCGAATCTGCTAAAGGTTCCTTTGAACGTCTCTACAACGATTTCTTAATATCTGGGGCTGTGATAGCGGGCCTTCGCGTGACCTGATAATAGAACGATGATGAGCAACCCCAAGAAAGAATCCTAGCATGTATTCAAGCTTCTAATTCTATATTAGCCCCAAGCACTGTGCGACGGCGCAGGGGCTTAACACGTAGGATGCACCATAACCCTGAATAACCTGCGTTTTTAGGGTTCCTTACTATGACTTCTTTAAATAAGTCCGTAAAAATGTAGGTTCTTCGGGGTTAAGGAAAGGTAAAGTTGGAGATATTAGTACCTTGTGAGCCTGAGGAGTGATTGCATGCTTAATGCTCCGTGTTCAAGATGATGTGTCTGTGGCTTTGGCGGTCTTGTTAAGCGGGCTTAAGACGCCAGAGCTTTCGGGTGTGTACATTCGGTGTAGATGTAGATGATGAAGTTTAAGGCCAGGGGTTATTGTTGGAGCCACGACAATGGTGCCGATGGGATAGGTCGATCTGACAAGCTTCGGTTTTGTATTAATTATCGTCACAATGTATAGCAAGAGCTGCAACACGCCACGGACCCGATACTGCCCGAAGCCATGAGCCCTAAACACGAAACAACGAAACCCTGAACTCCACGAAAAGGACCTCAACTCCGAAAGCCTTAAACCATAAACACTAGAGCATTGCAAATAGGATAAACCCCATCAGCCCCTACAAACGTCCATAAGCACACAACACATACAACAATATCAAAGATGATAACCTTGTAGTATAGAACAGCACGGAATATGACAGTCACCCCACCTGGTTTTGCTGCTCGTCAAGCTGCTTCTGCATTTCGGCCGTGGAAGCCTTCGCTGAGGTTTCGGGCTAGAGCTTGGAATTTTGAGCCAGAATGAGCCTTTAGTAGGGCTTGTATGGTTTATGCGGGTTTGATAGGGTTTATAGTATAGGGTTTACATGGCTCTCCAAGATTGGAAGGTCCTTCAAAAAACACAGCCCAAATGAGGAGCCTCAACTAATTTCTCCATGGGGTCAGGGAGTTTGCAAACGACGGAAGAAGAAAAACACCCTGGGGATATCCTAGGTATACCTATATGTACTTGCAGGCTACCTGCAAGGTTGCCTTCAAGCAAACGGACAGCCATGTGTCGTTGCTCTTCTCCTTGCTCTTCTCCATCCTGTTTTTCAATTATTTAGCCAGCTTTCCCAGCATTGCGCTTGCCGTTACCACAAGACCTACACTGCCAAACGGACGAATTTTCGGATTTCTTAAGTCAGAACAGACACCCGTAAGCTCGACATACAAATTCGAACTCCAGCTACCCATCTGCTTGCCTGGGTCGACTCCCTCGCCGCCGCGAGCTCACGCTCTTGCGCTTCCACCTGTATGGACACACATCGGAACTGGGCTGATGCGAAACCTCCCATGCCTGCACAAAGAAGATGTGAGCCCCTAGGCCTAGGCCTGGGCCAGAACCCAATGCTCGCTAGAGGTATGATTGTTCGGAAAGCAATCCACCCCAATAATCAACATCCCGACAATAAACCTTCTCTAGATGTTGACAAACTATAATAACAGTAATGTACTTATATTATAAATCTCGGAGAACCTTCATTCACAAATAAATAAATCAATACATACCCTAGCTACTCCCTGGAATCACCGGATCATGGTGTCTGAAAGACCCTTAAGCACCCAGTAATTGCGGACCCCCGCCCTAAACCCTGGCCGACATGGTGAGGCTTGTTAGGAAACGCGTGAAAATCATCAGAGGATATGAGAAGACTTGATATCCCCACGGGGTGGGCCAGCAGGGGTCTGAGAAACCTCATCCGCCAGGAATAAAGAGCATTCAGGTTTAGGGTTTCTGGCCTTTTCCGGCGGAGAAGTAAGGATTCGGCCAAGGGTTTAACTAGCTACATAGCAGGATGGAGGAGATGCTTCATCCGCTGGCAGAAGACGTGTCTGTTGTCTTTTCGTCTTTCCTGCTTCAAGAACCATGGGAACCGCACCCCTTCATCACGAAAGTTTGTAAACCCATTCAAGGTCCGTCCTAAGCTCAACCATCTATCGCTACCAGACTCCCCCACCATGGGGCCGAATGTATCAAAGCTACCCTGCTGGCAGCTCAACGACGCAAGCTCCCTCAACAGCTTCACCAGCTTGGAACCTAAAACCGGGCCCCCGATGGCCAGCGATGTGTACGGTTCCATGCCAGCTCAGGAGAGGATTCATTGTGCAATGTTGACTGGGCCCCTGAACCCTGAACCCCGAGCGGTCCGACCTGTTTCTCCAGCTCCGCAGCAGAAGCCTGGAACGTTTCAGACAGCGATAAACTCGCATCAGGCAAGCAGCCTACCAAAACGCTGAAAAAAAGCATAAAGCCTAAACCCTGTGACCCCTAGACCGTAAAGCCTACGAAAAAACGACTTCAGAACATGCAGCACCCTTAGATTTGCACAGGTATTCAGAAACTCCAGAGATCTTTGATTTCGAGTTCGTTTTGCCTTTAGGATTTAATTTGGATCGCGGATTTGGGAGGTACTTGGGCAGCTACCTCAAAGTTCTTACACAAGCGTTTAGAGTTTAGGGTTCAGGGGCGAGCGAGGCTCTCGGTAGCTTCTCAAAACCCTAAAGCCACAACACCACGGTTGATGATATAAATCCTGCATGACCCATAATCAGGAATATACCATAAATCCCATAGTTTAGGGTCCTTAAGGTAATGCAGGATTTATATCATCAACAGCAGCAGTCCTGACGCCAAAACTCCTGGACTTCTTCAGCAATCCCAAACCCCAAAAAACACAAGTGGGTGGTTGCCAAAATTAGGATCCCTTCTTCGGCACCCTAAGTAGTAGGTGCCGTATCATATTAAGGACCCAAGAAGGACTCTAATTTTGACAACCACCCAAGTGCTCAAGCTTTGGTTCACGAAAGCCCCTCAGAAACTTGAGAGCCCTCATGAAACAAGACCTTGAAGCATCTTTCTAAACAATCACGGTATCATCGTTAAGCTTTACCTGGGGATCCACAAGCCTACTGTTTTAGGGGTTAGACCCCCTCATGAAGGGGGCATGACCTACTATTTTTGTAGGGTTTGGGGATACAGGTACATCTTGAACGAAAGCCCACAACAAGATTTTAAGCCAGCCACTCAAGCACAAACTAAGCCCTAAGTCCTGAACACCAATGCCACAAAACCTAAACCTCCCCCCCAAGCCAAAAGCAAAGCCTAAAACCCCAAGGCCCTAGGCCCTAAGCCATAACATGAGCTCCATCATGGTCAGAAAACTAAATGGCTGTTGGGGGGGTGGGTTATAGTGTTGCAGTAAAATTATGTAAGGACTACAGTGAATGAGATTACTAGGTGTCGATTTCAACAGCCCCCCAAATTACGGATAATTATAAATAGGGCTCTATGTTAAACAGTAAGGGAAAACTAAAACACACTACAAATCGATACCTATAGTATAAGCCCATAGAACCCCTTTTGGAACTCTTGTAGGAACCCTTTTTGAACCCTTGTTAAGTTAGTATTCATGGAACACCTTAGAGGAAGTGCTCAAAGGACCCCTTTGAGGAACCCTTCAGATGACCCTTGAAGGAACCACCACTTATACCCTAAACTCTAAACCCTAAACCCTAAGCCCTAAATCCCAAGCCCTAGCCCTAAGCCCTAAGCCCTAAGCCCTAAACCCTAAGCCATAAGCCCTAAGCCCTAAACCCTAAACCCCAAAGCCCAAAGCCCTAAGCCATAAGCCCTAAGCCCTAAGCCCTAAGCCCTAAACCCTAAGCCCTAAGCCCTAAGCCCTAAGCCCTAAGCCCTAAGCCCTAAGCCCTAAACCCTAAACCCCAAAGCCCAAAGCCCTAAGCCATAAGCCCTAGGCCCTAAACCCTAAACCCCAAAGCCCAAAGCCCTAAGCCCTAAGCCCTAAGCCCTAAGCCCTAAACCCTATAAGCCCTTCTTAAGTCAGTATGTCAGAGCGACTCTTAGGGCCTTCGAGGCAGCCAAAGAAGCTTTGAGCTCCTCCTGCGTCGCCTCAGCCTGCGGTCGCGACTGCGCAGGGGTTTGGGCTTTAGGGTACTTGGAGGATCATGGGACTTAGTAACTTGGGTTATAATTAGGGTAACTATACTTATAACTACTTATAACCCCAATTCAGGTACTTTTTACCTTACTTACTACGTCTCATGATCCTCCAAATAGTTTAGTGCATGTAAGGGTAGTTTAGGGTTTAGGGTATCGGGCTGGGAGTTTGGGGTAGTTTAGGGTTTAGGTACTTTGAATCAGAGAGGGTGGTATTTGTACTGTGAAAATAATCAATGCATGAAGGGATTCTGAGGAATCACAGTGTGGGTAATAACTTGCGACAGTTTCAAGTAGTAGTGCGTTTATGAGAGTTCCTAAACCAGTGGCCTTGCCTGCGCTCTGTGGGTCACCAGCTGCTTCTCCAGTTCTGCGTTCGCCGCCTCTGCTTATCATGTGAGGGCTTCAGGGCTTAGGGTTTGGGGGTTAGTGGTTTAGGGTTTAGGGGTTTGGGGTCTAGGCTTTAGGATTCAGGATTTAGGGCTTATGGGTCTTAGAAGTTACATTGCTACACCCATGACTAACCCTCAAGCGCCTCAACCCTAAACCCCTAAACCCACTACAAGGGTCTCCTGTAGACCCAGAGGCATAACTGTCTGAAGGGCTTGCACATGCAGGCAGGCCTACTGCTGCCTGGAGAGCAGTTTATTGTCTCGGCTTACACAGCGGAAACAGTGTCATGTGATAGGATCTCAATGCGCTCGCGAAGGGTTCCCGTGATAAGAAAGTGCTAGATTTCTCAATGGTGCGTCGAACGCAGTGCCTCGACACGTCAACAATCCTCGACACGCTGACTCGACACCCACTTGCAATGTTTTAGAAGTTGAGGGTGGCCTGATCCAAGCCCTAAACCCCAACACCGAGCCTGATGCCCTTTAAGCGAGAAACTCCTATATAAACCCGACGGCTCTACATAGGTGTAAACGCAAGAGCAAGACAATCTGTTGCAACCAAGGCTGAGATCCTGTAGGCCTCCAGTCCACGGATACGATGCAATGCAGGGGCCTAAATTCAGTACCGATACTGTTTTGGGGTTCCTTACTACTGTACAGTTGTAATTACCTATAGTGAGGATGTTTCCGAAGCTTACAACAGGCTGCATAAGGGTTGTTTTAAATAAGAGCTTTCTTCACGGCTTCCACGGGATCGAAAACTTCCAAGAGCATACAAGTGCCGCCAAATATCATCAGCGGTGATCAGAATCTTTTGTAACCGATTTGAAGCTCTACAGAACCCTTAACCCACCCATAAAGCAACACCTCTGAGAGAGCCTGAAATACAAGGTCAAGTAGTTTTACTCATGTTGCTCTTATTCCTTTTCTGATGAATACTAAACGTGGGCATTATTGCTATTTTCCTCGGTTTTGCTGTTCTTATCAATCGCTCTCCGCTAGATTGCCGTGCTCTCCGGCCTTTGCAGCGTGCAAGGAACTGGAAAGCTCGTGCTTCGTCGCCTCTGCCTGAGGAGAAGGCTCTGCTCATGGTCCCATTTTGGTATTTTGGGGTCTTAACAAATAGAATATGGTTTTGGGGGGTAGGTTTTAAAATAATCAATTTAAGGAGCCCCAAAAGAGTATTAGTAATTATTTAGGCCCCTATAGTAGCTTTGGGTTTATAGGGTTCTATACAGGTTGAACGGGCTCTACAACCTACAAATAGGGTTGATGATATGGAACTCCAGGAGATTGTAACGATCAGTTGTTTAAAGGCAATCCTGGTTTCTGAAACTCCGATTCGTCGAGATCGTGTGCAATTCTTCGGGCGATGCGTGCATAAGTCTTGTTCCGATTATAGTGCTGGTATATACACAGAACAACAACTTTAACATACGTTACCTACGGAATTTTCCTTCAATCATATGCATGTCCATGCTGAAACGAAATCCTGAAGCATATCAGGATCTATTTATTTTGTCATCAAGGGCCCGGAATTAGAGTGTTTGGATACCGACGTTGCGGAGTTCAGGTAGACTCTGGCAGGAAAAACCAACAGCTTGCGCGTAAGATGAGGATGAAAGAGTTGCGACAAGACATTCTGTGAGCATAAAATGCTGAGGGAAAGGAACATAGCTACCAAATGTTGAGAGTCACAGAATACTTCCAACAGCCCCCAACTTGACCCTCCCCATCAACATCCTAAATTTAGGTTAACGGCCCTTTTTTCGGTTAAAACCTAATGTTCAGGGTTTAGTGACTTTGCACCGCTTCGAGTCCCTGAAACTACCCTGCATTGCTAAAAACCCTCACTCAAGAGTCAAGTGCCAAATATTTCAGCATGGACAACATTGAGAGATAGAAAACCGCTTACTGCGAGGAGTTAGGCCTTGCAGGGCAAGTCTGTGTGGATTTCAGTCGACGGGATGGGGGTGTGGAGCTTTGAGATCGGGATTCGTGGCGGAAGTAGAGCGGCGAGATGGCGTGGATGCCACACAGCTAGCTGTATGAGCCCTAAACCCTAAACCCTAAACGGGGACCGGGAGCTGCTTCGGCCTTAAAAACTCTCTTACGAAGGCTTGTGCTCCCATGGCCTGCTCTTGCTGTGCCACCAGCTGCTTCTCCAGCTCGGCACAAGACGCCTTCGTTCCGGAGGACCCTGATTCTATGAAGCCAATCACCTAAGCGTTCCTGTCTGCATCGTCCGTACGGTATTATCGTAAAGAGCCCCATTGCGCAGTTAAAGCTTTGGGGGATTCCTGAAACCCCAAACCCTAAAGAGGGTTGCGGCCGCCCAAGACAAACGTCCATCTGCGTCCGTTTTGCATCTTCGTATTCCCGAAGACGGTGGCAAAAATGAGTTGTAAAGTCAAGACGATACGAAATAACCATGCACCATGATAAACAACATGAGATTGACAACATAACAACCAACAGGATAATACTCAACGATAGTGTGTGAATGATCACATGGAGGATGACGTGAATGAAACTCATGCCTGCGGTATGCTGACTCGTCCCCTCGTTCCAGTAGTGCTTCGAGCATGTACGAAAGTCTATAACTCCTCGTTCTTCCTCTTTAGCTTGCCAACTGTAGTGTCGTGACTAGAATTCGAATCAAAGGCATGTATCCCAGTGTTGACAGTTGTCCGCCCTCTCCGACCTTCGCGGCATCACGCGAAGCCGCGAGCTCCAGATGTTTTGCATCCGCCTGCGACGGGACCGTGCCATCTTGAAAGGCGTCTTCGGGTCATGATCCGGATGATTCACGGTAGTATATACATGCGTACCCATGTTTTAACGATTACATCTACCGGCATGTATGAGCCACACAAGGATCATGAACGAATCATCCTTCTGGGTAGCGACATGAGCATCGTGATCAACAGCATGGCCACCAGTGGATCCGGGCAGACTCACCTGGGTCCCCAGTCCTACGACTTACAAGAATCAAAACTATATAGCAGGATCCACAACTGTGAGCCGGAGATGCCACGTACACCAATCCTATTCAAACGCAAAAGAAGCTGTCTGTCGCATGGCATATAGGAGAGGAATAGCTAGAATAAGGCGTCGGGACATGTTACACTACGCTATAATTATTATATAATAGCCATACGGTTGTAATGGATTCACGCCAGCATCACGATTTCAGCTTCAGCAATGATGCTTCAGCTGCAAGTGGAGCATGAGGCACGTGGCATCATGCCTAATCCAAGACCCCTGAAACAGACACATCAAACATGTTTAGGATTCAGGGTGCTTTAACGCTAAACCTTGGAAAGCGTCCCCAACCTGTGACCCGAAAATCCAAGCACTGAAACGGCGCATTTTGCAGCAAACGATGCACTGTTTCACCTGCAGCACTTGTCACGGACTTCAGAGTCTTGGATTTGGGTTGGAGGATAACCGTAAACACTAGGATCTAGGGTCCACCTAGACCCCCAAACTACCCTCTATTATAGCCCAAATACCCACTATTAAGAACCATAAGGGCTGTACTAACTGGCCATTGGGGGATCCTGGTAGATGTCTGTGGATTTAGAGCTTTGGCTGAGAGTCTTACCGTTGGTTAGTAGGGAATGGAGGAATGGGGTACAATTATAACTACTATTACTACCATATTACTACCATATTACTACCATATTACTATCATATTACTACCATATTACTACCATATTACTACTATATCACAACCTTAAAGCTACTATTACTACCATTCTCCCATTCCCTACTACCCAAGGGTAAGAAGTATGCTTAGTCAGACTCTAGGGCCTGGGCCTGGGGTGTCGAGTTTAGGGCTTAGCGTATAGGGCTCAAGGTTTGATGTAGGTTTAGGGTTTAGGGTTTAGGGTTCTGGATAAGTAGATTAAGGTGTTGAGGCCTTCATGCTATAAATTTTTGCTGAGGAACTACCAAAATAAAAGACTGAGGAACCACCAAAATAGTATCGGCATGTATTTAAGGCCCTATAGTAGGCTGTAAGGGTTTATGAGTGCAGGGCTTTCGGATTAAGAGTCTGGAGCTTCTCGGGTATTGGGACAAGATGGTTCTGGTTCAACGAAAAATGGGAGCTTCCGAAAAGAGGGGGCCACAATGTAATACCCTAAATAGTAGGATCCTCATTCTGAGGACCCCCCCAAAACCCTAAACCCTAAACCCTAAACCCTAAACCCCAAAACCCTAAACCCTAAACCCTAAACCCTAAACCAAATTTTCGGAAACTCCCAAATGACCAAATGAATCCTGTCGAACTGATCCCCCCCAGGGTCCAAGCACTGGTCTCAAAAGGCTCTTCTAATTTCTAGACTACTTAGAGGATCATGGGACTTAGTAAATAGGTTATAATTGGGGTTATAAGTCCCCTAAGTGGGGTTATCCTAATTATAACCTACTTACAACCTTACTGACTAAGTCCCATGAGCCTTCAAGTACCCTTACTTCGAACCTAAACGCAGATAGCTATCTGTTAGGTATTCTTTGGGCCCTTCGGGGGTCATGACAACAGATCGCCGATCTCAGGGTGGTCTTCTTTGTTGGCAAACAGCATGGCTGTCCAGCCGCCGATATTCGCCAAGTCTTTGTTGGCGCCAGCCTTCATCAGCAATCGTACAACTTCGACATTACCGTTTTGAGATGCTCTCATTAAAGCTGTGTGGCCGCTGTTGTCGGCCATGTCCTTGTCGGCGCCGGCCTCTAGCAGCAAACGCACCACGTCGCCGTAGCCACGTTCAGATACCATCATCAGAGCTGTCATGCCATGGAATGGGCCTCTGAAGTTTGGCATGTCTTTGTCAGCACCGGCTTCCAGCAAATAACGTGCCGCTTCCACATGGCCACCGCGAGACGCCTTCATTAAAGGCGTGAAGCCACGCATGTCCGCCAAGTCTTTGTTGGCTCCGGCCTGCAGCAGCAAACCTTACTTGTCCAGCTTTTTCGCAGAACTACGAAGCGGTCAAAGTTAATTACTGCACTGCAAAGAAACAGATTTGTTGAGACTAAGTAACTAAGGTTAAAAAGGTAACCGTACTTTTTGTTCCTTGTAACCGCACTTAAAATACGTATAACCTTACTTATTGAGGACCATGATCCACCAAGTACTGCCGCCCTAAACCCTATAAGGCCTAAGCCCCTAAACCCTAAACCCGTAACCCCTAAACCCCTAAACTCCTAAATTCCTAAACTCCTAAATCCCTTAATCCCTAAACCCCTAAACTCCTAAATCCCTAAAACCCTAAACCCTATGGATCCCTTATAGAACCCCTATAGATCCCTTTAAAGGACCCCTATAGATCCCAATAAACCAAGAAGCACATGACTTCGATGTGGCCACATTCGGATGCCGCCCCCAGAGCTGTGCATCCATGTGAGTCGCACAAGTCCGGGTCCAGGGGAAGCTGCAGCTTGGACTCGACCTGAAAGGGGGGTTTAGGGCTTAGGGGTTTCGGGTTTGGGGTTTAAGGGTTTAGGGTATAGGGTTTTATAAGCCTTTTACAGATTTTGTTGATGATTTTTACATGGTTTGCGCCTTCATTTTGTTTTTTACAGGGTGTAGGGTGCTTTGACTGCAGCTGAACTGAAGCGGTTGGCCCCCCCAATCCAAAACTTGAGCAACCATGTCTAGATCCGAATCGGAGCAAGAAAGTGCGCACCACAACGTGGATTGAACAACATCCAACCCAAGACATCGTGCCGTTTACCATCTATGATGCCGCCTGTCTTTCGGAACCTTACTTTCTGTGCTGCAGACAGAGCACTGTGCAATACTACCGCACCACACCGTGCTGCAGCGCAGTGCGGTTTTAAGCTCAACTACTTTCGGCTGAGTTCTTCGTCATCGCAGTCAATCTCAGAGCCCAACTCCCTAACGAAACCCGTGCGAGTCTGCAGCGAAAGTTTGATCATCTTGATCTATGCGCATGTCGCAGCTTTTAAGCCCATCATGTTTTGCCGGCTATTTTGAGAATGACTCGTCTCGCTCATTAAGGCCGGAAACTGGGCAGGGGCCCGAATAAGGAGAATAGAGCTTTGCGGTGTAGTATAACAAAAAATCTTTCAGACCTCTATATTCTTCAGATGGGCTGGATGCCAAACACACGGTTTGGACTGTTTCAAACTCCCTACCTCGTCGATGGAACCCTCTGTAGCAGCTGCGGTCAAATCGTCCACCTGCGTCTGGGTGACATCGGCAAATGTTAACAGAACAAGGTCCAGGTCCATGGGCGAATCCAGCTGGGTTGCGTCATCCAGACTCTTGCCGTGGAAAAGAAGCCTCTGTCTAAACCTTGGAGGCATGCCGTGCCGCTGATTCAACCGATCTTTCAAGTCCCTCACAGCATGTAACTCCTCCACATCCATGCTGGTCACCACTTCGCCCGAAATCATCCTGACGTGTAGCATCGACAAGAGCTGGGTGCTGCGAGGCAGATCAGAGCCGTGGGCTGCGAGAGCTTCCGTCTGTTAAGACCTACTTAAAGGATCATGGGACTTAGTAACTAGGGGTTATAATTAGGGTAACTATACTTATAACTACTTATAACCCCAATCAAGGTACTTATAACTTATAACCTTACTTACTAAGTCCCATGATCCTCCAAGTATGGTCTAGCAAAGGGCCTGAATAATCAGCAAAGGCCTTTGGGGCATGTTTCAAGTGTGTATATATATATATACATATATCTCTCGTTCCTGAATCATTACTAGTGTTCCGACCCCTTCACTGTCTGATGCTTAAGGCTGGGTGCTCAGAGCTCAGGCTCAAAGAGCCGCTGCGGAAAAAACAAAGTTTAATATAGGGGCCTTAATACTAAGAATAGGGTTGGGGGTATAATATACTATGATCTTAATAAGGAAACCCCCCACCTCCAAATAGTATTGGTAACTATTTAGGCCCCCTGTATGTAGGGTTTCATGTTGAGGGTTTGTGGCTGGCCAAGGATTGACAAGGCTCGTGCTGATGCGGCCTGCGCTTGCTGGGTCTCCATCTGCTTCTCCAGTTCTGCAGCAGACGCCTGTCATTACGATGCGTACTATTCTTCTTCTTCTTCGAACACGTACTGTCATTACTACCACTGGCATTACTACCAAAGGTATAGTTGGTAGAGTTATCGTTATTGCACGGGCAGTCCGTTTGAGAAAGGAGCGGAAAGGTCCATGCCGCCGGGCTTTTGACCTGAGAATCCAACATAGAACTACCCCCAGCATGCACACACTCATGCACACACGGAGTGTGCATATCTGCCGCGATGCCATGCCATATGTTGATGAGCTTTCTAGCGACTCGTGCATTACAAAGAAGTCGGCGCTCTTCGATCATGGGTTCAGTGTCTAATGCATGCACGGTTGCAGCCGCTTGGTGGGGGTTGTGAAGCTAAAGACATACGTACTTTGTTTCAGCTTTAGGCCCTTGACCGTATACCCTAAACCCTACAGTTGCGGGTTGCAGGGCTTTTCGAAGGATCCTGCCCACTTCCTGCTCGCATCAATGAAGATTCTAGCGCGGCTATAGGTTATCTAAACCCTAAACCCTCGAATCTAAACTCCAAACCCCAACTAGATCCTCAGCACTCCCAAGCTTTTTGTGTTTTGTTGGGATTCTCCCCTGCCAAGCCAGTCTTTTGGGACTTTTACGAGTCATTGTCATAGCAAGGCGCATGAAGGGCCTGGAAACTCAGAACAACAGATTTACCGGACACGATCGTAATTGGCTGTACAGGGGCTGCAGCGACTATAGAGCCATACTGTTCAGTAATGATTCAGCCCTCTATGTCAAAGACTTGTCAAACCGCTTGCCGCTTCTGGTAACTGGTTATCCTCAGAAAACTCAAAGTGTACCCCAAACCCTAGTCCCTAAAGTAGGCAGTACCCCACATACCAAACCCTAAACCCCTAAACCCCTAAAGCCGTAAAAACCCTAAAACCCTAAACCCTACACCCCAAACCCCCAGACAGTGACCTTGATATGCTTCAAAACAGGGCTCTCGGCTTCCCCCGTCCCTGGTTTTTGTTACGCTGTCTTAGTTTAGGCTGCCATAAGCAATAGGAACCTATTGTGAGTAAGACTGCTTCCTTATTGTGGTCACTTCGAACTAAAACCTAAGTTTTGGGAGTATATTGGGCTAATCTAGTTATTTTTCAAGTATATACCCCAAAAGGGTTGAAGGTTGACTGCTCTACTACTAGGTCCTACATCCGGGCCCCTTTATAGTATAAGTGTACTCCAGGTATAGATAAGGGACCCTGAGGAAGAAAACATTGGTAAGCATTTCGGCCTCTACATCGTTTGACCACTCCTACTACTACTACTACTACTACTACTACTACCACTACCACTACTACTACTACTACTACTACTACTACTACTACTACTACTACTACTACTACTGCTACTGCTACTACTACTACTACTACTACGACGACGACTACTACCACTGCTACTACTACTACTACTACTCCTCCTACTACTACTTCTCCGACTACTACTAGTATTATTACTTCTTGTAGGAGTTCGATTTCGAAGGGCTGGGCGGACCGAGCCTTCGAAGCTTCCGAGGCCGTCTGGAGCTCCTGATGCTTCGCCTGGACCTGCGCTGGGGAGAGAGGGGAGAGACTAGGAACAGTCGTAGTAAGAGTAGGAATAGTGGTAGTAGAAGTAGTAGAAGTAGTAGTAGTAGTAGTAGTAGTAGTAGTAGTAGTAGTAGTAGTAGTAGTAGTAGTAGTAGTAGCAGTAGCAGTAGCAGGAGTAGTAGTAGTAGTAGTAGTAGTAGTAGTAGTAGTAGTAGTAGTAGTAGTAGTAGTAGTAGTAGTAGTAGTAGTAGTATGGTGGTAGTAGTAGTAGTAGTAGCAGCAGCAGCAGAATAGAAACAACAACAACAATAGAACACTCTTACTAATAATGAAGAGTAGCTGGGTGGGTGTAAGCTTATCATGGGGTTGAGGCTCTGTAATACTGTCTGCCTACAGGCAGTTATAGGGTCTAGAAAAAGACGTACGTCCAGGGGGTGGAGGGTCTGGGGTCTAGGTTGACGAATAAAGCTTTACGCGAGTTTATGTGTTTTGCGGGGCTGCCCGCTATTGCAATTACGACGACACCGTCCTGTCTAGTAGGCGGAGAGTTCCTATCCTGCTACCGCGAGCATTTCTAACAGTTGGGTCTAGGGGCATAGTACACTAGAGTATGCTACATCTGTAAAGGGACATCAGCATGCTTTGACGACTCAGGACTTCCGTCGTTCCCAGGCTGACAGACTCAACATTCTCAAAATTCCCTCTGCTGCCGATGAGTTTAGGGCTTCGGGGCTGGAGGTGCCGGTGTAGTGTTTAGGCTAGGGTTTAGGGTTTGAAGCCTAGGGTTTTAAGATTCAGGACTTTAGCCGGGGCAGCCTGAAAGTGGTGGAGAGTTGATGTGGCGCCTGCTCCTGCTGGCTCGCCAGCTGCTGCTGCAATTCCGTGGCGGACGCCTGAGGGGACAAAGTTTCAGGGATTAGGGCGCACTATAATAAGGGTCTTACTCTTACTATATAGTCTGTCACACGAGGGATTCGGGTGTACTTTAGGGGTCCTACTCCGCTACATCGCTACATGTCCGGACATGTCGGTCCCGTAAATTCATGCTTGGGATAGTCTTTTGGTACCAACTTCCATGGTAATGGCAGCGTGTATGACCCCTCGAACCATTCTGGTACACGCAGCTGTCACCTGATTACAAGAGGATCAAATTTGTCAAGGGCTTCGCAAGCCGGAGATACTCAGGAGACTCGCAATGAACGAGAAACTTCTAACATAATTACGTCAGGTGAACCCATAACCTAGATTCAGACACTGCTAACAAAGTTTACGATACCCCGTTTGCCTTCAAGAACGACTCCCCAATGCTCTGGCAAAGAAACGCTTCCGCAGCCAGGGTTTTCAATCCCAGCATCAAGATCTTACTTAAACCCCAAACCACCCTCTATGGCTCTCGACCAAGATAAACCCCAACTCACTTCCGAAGCCTTCAAAGGTGTCAAAAAAACGAAGACCATCATTAGCCTACTTGTCGGGTATCATTGGGAACTACAGGTTAACCTTTTTGTTATGTATGGATTATATAGGGACTATACTACCCCAAAAAAGGTTAAAGGTTGCCTACGCTACTACTTGGCTACACCCCCAAGCCTTGTGCTCTCACTGAGCACTGAAACCCAACTCTGGCTCCTCAACCCTACTCAAAGTATCTTGGGACTTAGTAACTGGGGTTATAATCAAGCTAACTGTACTTATAACTACTTATAACCCCAATTATGGTACTTATAACCGTACTTACTAAGTCCCATGATCCTGAAAGTAACTCAAACCTGGCTCCTCGCAACCCCAAAGAAGGCTCTGCACCCCAAGCCCCGACTCGAACGTAAACCCGACCCAGCAGCATACTATACAGGCCTTCACAATTTTAATCGCCTTTCGGTAGTTTCCGGTATATCGTAGTATGTCAGTATGTCTATACGTTGCGGAAGAAACGGCACTGTCATGTGCTTACAAAGCCAGAAAACCCCACAAGCCCCAACTACATCCTAAACCACAACTAAGCCACAACGAAAGCCATGAATGAAGGTCTGCTAACCCCCTGAATACAGCCTAAACGCGAAATCCTGAACGCCAGACCCGCAAGGCTCTGAAAGGAGGTGGCCTTGGAAGCCTCCAAACAGGACGCAAGCTCTCGCTGCTTCGCCTCGGCCTCTCAGGATTTGAGTCCTAAGGTTTATGATATAAATCCTGCATTACCTTAATGACCCTAAACTATGGGAATTATGGCATATTCCTTATTATGGGTAATGCAGGATTTCTATCATCAGCCGTACCGTAACCTAGGATTTAGGTTTCAGATTTTAGGGTTGAGGGTTTAGGGGTCAGGGTTCAGGTTTCGGGTTTTACGGTTTAGGGTTGAACACGAATTACCTACCCTTTTCGGAGTGTGTCCTTATTTCGCTCTCGTTTTATTAGTCTTTAGCTAAGCCTGGAAATTCTCGATGAATCTCAGTTCGTTCCTTCTGCCTCTCAAACGACAATCTGGACGGTTTTCGAGTGAAGGCTAGACTTGATACAGAAACCTTAACGACTAGAATGGGTTCTGGGCTACACTCTAATGACCATGTTTAGATAAGGACTATAAAGGACTATCATTATATATGCAGACCCTGTATCCTGCTATGCTGCTCTGTGCACCCACAAAGATCAGAAGTTCCGTTGAGCTAGAGGTCCAAGTCCCGCCTAAGCCCAAGACCTTTAACCGCAAATCCTAAAGTCTAGAGAGAGCCGTGTCGATGCGGTGCCTATACCCTAAAATCCCAAAACCCCAAACCCTAAAACCCTAATATAGAGGCCTTAATAGTTAGAATAGTGTTTTGGGGCCCATTATACTGTAATCACAATAAGGAACCCCCAAAACAGTATAGGTAATTATTAGGGCCCCTATAGTATATGCCCTAACTGGGTTGGCCTTTAAGCACCCTGACAATATTTATATATAGGGTCCCTTATAAACCCCAATAAGGAAAATAAAAAATGTACCAAAATCCAACCTAGCTAAATCCCTAGACCGCCTGCTCCTTCTGGCTTACCAGCTGCTGCTCTAGCGCAGCAGCGGACGCCTCTGAAGCTTCAGGTTCTCGGGGGGTTTAGGGTTTAGGGGTTTAGGGTTTAGGGTTTTGGGGGGGAGGTCGGGGGGCTTACCCAGGGACTCCAAAGTAGTGCCTTTTGGGGGCTCATATTTAGAACCCTATAAGGTAATCCCCAAAAAGGAACTACTTTGGGGCAGTAGGGTAGGCTATCAGGACTTGGGGGTCTTATGCTTTTGCGAATCAAAGATCCAGAATTTGGATGTTAGTTTAACCGAGAAGATTTGCCAACCCATCCTAGCACATGCCGCTGTTATCTGATGCAAGACTTACTGTAGGGATCACCGGCCTTCGTAACCGTTTAACCAGACTGACAATCGGGATATAATGCATAAAGAGACATAAACGTAAAGATACTGATGACCAGGCACGGATACAGATGTTCTTAAACAAATGGCTGAATCCCATGCACCTGCAAGACTGGCACAAGAACTCTGCTTAAACCTTCAAGAATGGTACAAGAACTCTGCTTAAGAGAAGCCTCTATTGCAAATCCGCAAACAATAATGGGCATCTAGGGTCAAGCCTGCTCCAATGCACCCCCAACGACATAAAAGCTGAAATACCTCGAATAGCATAGACTAGACATATCAGAGCTAGAGCCCGGAAAAGTTGAAGCTGAGAGACAGTACCAAGGACGTCGAGTTGTTGAACAATCACTTCCTTTTGTGGTATGGAGCCTAGAAAGAACTCAACTGCTTCCCGAACTGCTTCCCGGAACCCTAAATCCCAAGAGGCTAGACCCATCTAAATCCTACACCGGGTTAAGGGCTTAGGCCTTGGGGGGGTGCAATTTGGAGTTAATTACCCTAGCTCAGGAGCACTGCTTCTGCTACTCATCGGGTTTCTGGCTGAGGGTCCTACGGTTGATGACACAAACCCAGCATTACCTTAATGGCCCTCGACATTATCCACCATATGCCTGCAATTGAATGCTCCGTGACCCGCGCAAGTTTGAATTCTGTGAGGCTCCAGGTCTCGGCTACAATCATTTGAGTTTGGTTTTAGGGCTGAAAGTTCAGGGCACGAGTTGTCTTGGGAACGTTTTATACTGAAACTCCGGGCCCTAAGTGGCCTTACAGCCTATGTGGGTAAATCACAGACCAGATGCTAACCCTCTAGGGCCTTCAATTTAACACCCAGATCTGAACCGAGGGCCGTGCGAACATCCCAAACACCCGAAAGACTCCTACGTCCCCCAATTCACGCCCTAAGCCCCTACCTAGACCCCCCAAAGTAGATAAAACAATGGCCCAAAACCTATAAAAGGCGATTATTCTACATACTCTTGGGGTCCAGGTATAGACCCCAACATCTCCCCCATTGAGGCCCTAAGCCCCTAACAAGTGCCCAACCAAAGAGCCCTCAACGCTGCCGGCCTCTGCGGATCCCAGGGACTCCGTCAGCTCCCGCTGCTTCGCCTCAGCCTCTCGCGACTTGAGCCCTAAACCCTAAAACAGGGTTTGCTTAGTAAGGGTTCTTAAAGGCCTCTTTAAAGGGATCTATAGGGTTCCTTAAAGGGATGTATGGGGTTTAGGGCTTAGGGCCTACTTAAAGGATCATGGGACTTAGTAACTAGGCTTATAACTAGGGTAACTATACTTCTAACTACTTATAACCCTAATTAAGGTACTTATAACCTTACTTACTAAGTCCCATGACCCTCCAAGTAGGGTTTAGGATGGTTTCGGGTTTTTGGGATTGCGGCTTAGGATGGTTTAGGGTTTAGGGGTTAAAAACCCAAACAAAAACCAAAACCAATGAGCCTGTGACTTTTATCATTCTGCAGATAGTCACAGGAGGTGGTGGTGATGGTAGTGATAGCGGTAGTGGGAGTGGTAGTGGTAGTAGTAGTAGTAGTAGTAGTAGTAGTAGTAGTAGTAGTAGTAGTAGTAGTAGTAGTAGTGGTAGTAGTGGTAGTAGTGGTAGTGGTAGTGGTAGTGGTAGTGGTGGTAGTAGTAGTAAGTAGTAGTAGCAGTAGTGGTAGCAGCAGTAGCAGTAGTAGTCGTCGTCGTAGCAGCAGTGACAGGAATAGCATTACCACCCCGTCATTTTTTTTGAGGCCCATTTGCTCCGGCAGATCTGCTCTCACAGATCGGGAGCCTGATTTGGCAGGCTCAGTTCGGACCTTCACACTTCTTCCACCCCTCAGTTGAGCTCCACATCAACCCACTATCCCTACCCCTCGACTTTCTCCACAGACTCCTCCATGACGGTTAAGGTTCCATACAGCAGCTCCCCGCCACAGCCACCTATGGATCTCTGGAGGGTGCTCTTGATTATGGGTGCATCAGTGTTGTCTCTGCAAAACACGTCGGTCTGCTGCAGCAACCGCGCGACTTCGACGTTGCCACTTTGAGATGCTATCATCAAGGCAGTCCGGTAGCTGTCGTCTTCCAGGTTCTTGTCGGCGCTGGCCTCCAAGAGCAAACGCACGACTTCGATACGGCCGCTTTCGCATGCTGACATCAAAGCTGTACTGCCGCGGTTATTTGCAATGTCCGTGTCGGCTTTTGCCTCCAACAGCAACCTGGTTATTTTGACATGGCCACGAAAAGCTGCCATCATCAAAGATGTGATGCCTCCGACATTTGCCAGATCCTTGTCGGCACCGGCCTCCAACAGCAAACATACGACCTCGTCATAACCGCAGCAAGATGCAGTCATCAAAGCAGCCCTGCCATCGAAGTTCGTATTATCTTTATCAGCGCCGGCCTCCAGTAGCAATCGTGCCATTTCGACATTGCCCCGCTTAGATGCCACCATCAGAGCCGTGCGGCCGTCGCAATCTGCCACCTCTTTGTCGGCCCTCGCTTGCAGCAGCGCCCGCACCACCTCCACATGGCCATGATCGCATGCCACCAACAAAGCTGTGCAGCCACGGTTGGTGACTAGATCCTTGTTGGCGCCGGCCTCCAGCAGCAAGTGCAAAACCTCGACACAGCCATGTTGCGAGGCTGTGTCCAGAGCTCTGCGGCCGTAGGAATTAGGCAAGTCTGGGTGTTGCGGAAGCTGCAGCATGAGCTCAACCTGACAGGGCATCCATCCAGAAGAGTTGCAAGCAGAGAGCGAGTCTGAGAGAGAGAGAGAGAGGAGAAAGCAAGAGAGAGAGAGAGACACAGAGAGAGAGAGAGAGAGAAAGACAGAGAGAGAGGGAGAGAGAGAGAGAGAGATAGAGAGAGAGATAGGGAGAGAGAGAGAAAGACAGAGAGAGAAGAAGAGAGAGAGAGAGAGAAACACAAGAAAAACCTTAGATGCCGAGGCAAACGAACAAAGAAGCAGCCCTTTGGACGGGAGCCCTCATGTGCGTTTGCAAATTCGGGTCTAGAGTCTGGGGCTCACGTCTTGTAGGTTTGAAATTCGTGGATTTTGGGTCTGACCTACAGCCTAAACTCGAAACCCTGAACCCAATATAGAGGCCTTAATAGTCAGAATGGTGTTTGGGGTATTTTGTACTATAATCATAATAAGAGAACCACCAAAATAGCTAGTACTGTAGCTTTCCAGCATCGGCCACCTTTTCCAGGGAGTCATCGCGAATATTGGTCAGTAGATCGTTCACCTGTGCTGCGGAAACATCAGCAAAGGGCAACAGGACGAGATCGAGGTTCATGGGGCAATCCAGCTCAGCTGTATCATCCAGGTTCTCGCCGTGGCGCAGGAGCCTCTGTCTAAACCGCGGTGGCACGCCGTGTTGATGTGTCAGTTGCTGCTTCAAGGACCTCACGTTGCTCAGCTCCTCCACCGGCACGTTGGCCACCTCTGACCCGGAGAGCATCTGGATGCGCAACATCGCAGCCGACTGGGAATGTCTCAGAACCTGTCATGCTACACGGTATTTGCACAGTCATGAGTGGTTGTAAAGCAATAGGGATAGTTGTCAAAATTATGGTCCCTTTCTGGGTACCCTAAATGAAAATAGGTGCCGTAACCATATTAGGGGTCCCAAAAGGGACCATAATTTTGAGAAGCACCCATAACTACGCTTGAGACTAGCAGTAGCTATGCGCATGTGCCGTTGCTACGCACCTCCGTCGCCCAAGGCTTCGGAAGGACGAGCCGAAAACATGTAGGCAGGCCCTTGGCTGCACAGTTGTCTGCGAACTCCACTGAACAGTCTACTGCTCGTGAATCCGCTCTCCGGATATACAAGGCTTATAGAGTTTAATGTAGGGGCTTCAACAATTAAAATAGAGTTTTGGGGCCCATTATACTATAATTATAATAAGGAACCACCAAAGTAGTATTATGCTATCAGACTTCGATGCCCTCCGACGCAGGAGAACCGTCCGCAAGCAACTGCGGAACACCCAGTACTCAGCGGTTGAAACCCTGGGCCCATATACCTAGTATATGCCCTATATAGACTCTTAAGGGTCCCTATGGAACCTCCTCAAAAAGGCCTAAGAGTCCATATTAGGGGCCCTTTACTCCGGAGTAGAATGAGCAGAGGGTTTATGCTGAAAGGCCGGCCGAACTGATCTCTTTGATTTAGAGACTCAGTGCTTAGGGCTTGTCGGGCTTGTGAACAAGCTGGCAGTCGAAACGAAGGAAAGTGCTTAATTTCGCCCTCATGTCGAGGACTCCAGGTGCGAAAAAAGCGTGCACCTATCAGCACTGTGGTTTGGTCTTTGTAAGCCCCCAGCCTGCCTTTCAGCCACCATGCTTTCATTGCTCGGTCTAGACAGGGGGCTTAAACCCCGACAAGAACAACAAAACAGTGTTCCCGACAACCAAACAATCCAACCCCGACAAGAAAGGCAAAACACAAGGCCTGACAAGAAAGGCAAAACACAACGCCTGACAAGAAAGGCAAAACACAACGCCTGACAAGAAAGGCCAAACACAACGCCTGACAAGAAAGGCCAAAACAGAACGCCGGACACGAAAGCAAGCCAGCCGAAGCCCTGAAGCACACCGTTTTTTCTGATTATGCTGCCAGGGCTTGCGCAACGGAATCCCATTAAGCACGCGCACGGGCTGTGAGTCTTTCCAAAGGGATGTTCCGGGATGTGCCGGGATGTGCCGCAAAGGCTGGGACATGCCATGCCCTTAGATGCTGTCGACACCTCACAGGCTCCCAGAAAAGGGTCGTTTTAGGGACTGTTGTTCTGTGCACGGAGGCATGTGCCGGGATGTGCCGGGATGTGCCGGGATGTGCCGGGATGTGCCGGGATGTGCCGGGATGTGCCGAGTCCGGGGGGGTGTGGCATGCCTGCAAAGCTCCTGCGAGGCTTTGGGAGGCACCTCCAAGGTGCGCAGAAGAAGGGTTGTATTTGGGGCTGTTTGTCTTTCCAAAGGGATGTTCCGGGATGTGCCGGGATGTGCCGGGATGTGCCGCAAAGGCTGGGACATGCCATGCCCTTAGATGCTGTCGACACCTCACAAGCTCCCAGAGAAGGGTCGTTTTAGGGACTGTTGTTCTGTGCACGGAGGCATGTGCCGGGATGTGCCGAGTCCGGGGGGGTGGCATGCCTGCAAAGCTCCTGAGAGGCTTTGGGAGGCACCTCCAAGGTGCGCAGAAGAAGGCTTGTATTTGGGGCTGTTTGTCTTTCCAAAGGGATGTTCCGGGATGTGCCGGGATTTGCCGGGATGTGCCGCAAAGGCTGGGACATGCCATGCCCTTAGATGCTGTCGACACCTCACAGGCTCCCAGAAAAGGGTCGTTTTAGGGACTTCTGTGCACGGAGGCATGTGCCGGGATGTGCCGGGATGTGCCGGGATGTGCCGGGATGTGCCGGGATGTGCCGAGTCCGGGGGGGTGTGGCATGCCTGCAAAGCTACTGAGAGGCTTTGGGAGGCACCTCCAAGGTGCGCAGAAGAAGGGTTGTATTTGGGGCTGTTTGTCTTTCCAAAGGGATGTTCCGGGATGTGCCGGGATGTGCCGCAAAGGCTGGGACATGCCATGCCCTTAGATGCTGTCGACACCTCACAGGCTCCCAGAAAAGGGTCGTTTTAGGGGCTGTTGTTCTGTGCACGGAGACATGTGCCGGGATGTGCCGGGATGTGCCGGGATGTGCCGAGTCCGGGGGGGTGTGGCATGCCTGCAAAGCTCCTGAGAGGCTTTGGGAGGCACCTCCAAGGTGCGCAGAAGAAGGGTTGTATTTGGGGCTGTTTGTCTTTCCAAAGAGATGTTCCGGGATGTTCCGGGATGTGCCGGGATGTGCCGCAAAGGCTGGGACATGCCATGCCCTTAGATGCTGTCGACACCTCACAGGCTCCCAGAAAAGGGTCGTTTTAGGGACTGTTGTTCTGTGCACGGAGGCATGTGCCGGGATGTGCCGGGATGTGCCGGGATGTGCCGAGTCCGGGGGGGTGTGGCATGCCTGCAAAGCTCCTGAGAGGCTTTGGGAGGCACCTCCAAGGTGCGCAGAAGAAGGGTTGTATTTGGGGCTGTTTGTCTTTCCAAAGGGATGTTCCGGGATGTGCCGGGATGTGCCGGGATGTGCCGCAAAGGCTGGGACATGCCATGCCCTTAGATGCTGTCGACACCTCACAGGCTCCCAGAAAAGGGTCGTTTTAGGGACTGTTGTTCTGTGCACGGAGGCATGTGCCGGGATGTGCCGGGATGTGCCGGGATGTGCCGGGATGTGCCGGGATGTGCCGAGTCCGGGGGGGTGTGGCATGCCTGCAAAGCTCCTGAGAGGCTTTGGGAGGCACCTCCAAGGTGCGCAGAAGAAGGGTTGTATTTGGGGCTGTTTGTCTTTCCAAAGGGATGTTCCGGGATGTGCCGGGATGTGCCGGGATGTGCCGCAAAGGCTGGGACATGCCATGCCCTTAGATGCTGTCGACACCTCACAGGCTCCCAGAAAAGGGTCGTTTTAGGGACTGTTGTTCTGTGCACGGAGGCATGTGCCGGGATGTGCCGGGATGTGCCGAGTCCGGGGGGGTGTGGCATGCCTGCAAAGCTCCTGAGAGGCTTTGGGAGGCACCTCCAAGGTGCGCAGAAGAAGGGTTGTATTTGGGGCTGTTTGTCTTTCCAAAGGGATGTTCCGGGATGTGCCGGGATGTGCCGCAAAGGCTGGGACATGCCATGCCCTTAGATGCTGTCGACACCTCACAGGCTCCCAGAAAAGGGTCGTTTTAGGGACTGTTGTTCTGTGCACGGAGGCATGTGCCGGGATGTGCCGGGATGTGCCGGGATGTGCCGGGATGTGCCGGGATGTGCCGGGATGTGCCGAGTCCGGGGGGGTGTGGCATGCCTGCAAAGC